GAAGCGTTTTCTAGAAAAGCACATGCTAAGTGCTCTTAATTTTCCTGTTTTTAAACGCAACAGAAGTTGCCCAACGATATAAGCAGTCGATCGTCATTCCACAAGAGTACAATGTTATAACATTTGTAAACAACGAGCCTATTTTCCTGTCAAAATTTTCAAAAACATTTGATCCAAGTCGAAAATAACAGGGAACCAATAATATTCGTTCAACCTCTCGTAAGTCAATCAAGCACCTACGTTAAGACGTAATTTTCTAACGAATAACTAAGCCTTGCACCGCCTGTGATCCATCGTCAGATATCCTGTTAGCTCGAATGGTGCTGATAACATTTGCAATATTACCCTGACAATGAGGAACTCTGTCAATATACGATTGTATAATGAAGATTTATGAACAATGCAATACGAAGAATGGTTTTTCATACGGTAGCAATCAAAATCGGTTCTTAGTGGGCAGTCAATAATGGAAACGCGGCTGCAGTTACTTACCCTCCAAGTTGCTAACTTTGTTCTTAGTGTAAGCCATTGTTCTTCCCCAAATACTCTCAGAGTACAGCGGCTGCAGATGAAAGGCCAATTCAGTTCAAGAACAAATATATAGGTCTTTGTGTGTACGCAGAAGGTATGAAACACAAACTAACCTCACAATCACCACTTGATTCATCTGGTCCATTTTACAGTCCATTAACTTGGCAGTTATTGCCTTTACCACCCAAAGTTCCACTTCATCATTAATCTGCCAAAACGAAGTGCATAAGCATAATCAACCATGATGTCAAATAAAAACCTCTGGAACCAGAAAGGTAATCCAAACTAACCTGAAGGGTATCTCTGATAACACCGTAAGGAATCCGTCCAGATTCATCAGAACCAAGATCCATCAAGGAAATCAACCTCATCTTAGTTATGCAGTCTTCATGGCCAAGACCTATAACGTTTCAAAAAGCATAATTTACACAAATTAAAAAAAGTAGTATAGTCCGAAGAAAACCCAGTCAGTTGAAACTAAACTTTACCATAGCTTTTCAGTAAATCAGAATTAGCAGCCTGAAACTCCAAGTAAGCATCCAGCCTCTGAGTCAGAAATATCTTTAAAAGCTGATATGCCAATGCATGCTTAGCATCCTTCTCCAGTTGCTCTACAGCAGGCATATTTAGCAAATCACACTGCAGCATAACAAAACTCACATATCAGTTATCTAAATGCCTCATGGAAGGGGACGATTTGATCATCACAGCCAAATGCCAAAAACCCAGTTGTTTCGAAGTGCTGATCTTAAACCATCACTTTGTCCTGTTTATACAAACTAATGCCCAAAAACAATACAGATATTATAAGTAACTGCAGAGGAAGCATAGTAGCTCCATGTGAAGGTCTACAGTTTCTTCAAAAACATAAAAATAAGAGTTCTTGTTAACAAGAGAATGAAACTTACTTTGTAAAGGATCTAACACAAGTAAAGAAGGATGGAACAGTCACCAAAGAGAAACATGGACTCAAAGATTAGTATTAAAAATCTTCAAAATTCCACAAGATCCTAAAAACAATACCTGAAACATGTCTGGGGCCTTCACAAATTCAACAATTGTGCGTACAGCTTCCTCTTTGGCTTCACTCAATGTATGTGCATCTTCACCAGAAAAAGTCGCCAAGTACTTGGTCAGGAATTTGAAAGACTCCTTTGCCAAGCTGAAAATACAACAGACAATATAATCAACTGTTCTTAATACAAATTGAGGAGAGACATGTATATATAGAAAAAAGATTACAAAATATACTTTTTGTGTTCTTTCAGAACATTAGCAATGGCAAGAAATAACCGCCTCTGATCAGAGATCCCAATATTCCACTCTTTCAAAAAGCTTTCCACCTTTTTGAATGAAGGGATGACATGTTCAGCGACCTTCCCATTGATTGCCAAATTAAGAGCACTCAAGTAGACTAAGAACCGGCTATACGGGTTATCCAGAAGGTTGTACAGATTGAACAAACTGTAAAGAAAACGAAAAACGGTCAGAAGTAATCAAAATCAGAAAAGCTAAAGTCGCAATCATAATGTTATCATACATCTTTAAGCGCAGTGCAGGCTTGTCAGTTGGTTTTTGAGTAATCTTTGAGGATATAAGTTTTGCCATCTCGAGTGCTTCGTCTGGACTTTCAGACTTTGTAACCACGTTGCAGATAACAGTGAATATGCACTCAAGATCTGGAAGGAAAATGAAAAGCATGATTTTGTGTATGATGAACATTGACAAAACCATGAAGCTCTCACTTAATTATTGCTATTAATTGAATTGACTTGACCAAAAACATATGCAGAATTTTGATGTAATTAGGCAAAAGAACTTCAAGCAAACATTGATATAATAGTGGATGAACAACGATTGGAAGAAAAACCTCTGAACCATCAACAACATGCAATACTAATGCAATACTAAGCCTCTTAATCTATTTAACATCTTCAAAATAGTACATAAAATTTTCAATATACAAATTGTACCTTTTTCCGAGACCTTTGACAATATAACCTCAGCCGAAGTAAGCATAAGTGACACCAAATCGAACCACCGGCCCATTACCACGCACTCTTGGGCTTCAGCGCATAGTCTAGTAACTTGTGGCTCAGCAACCTGGCAGTTAATAATGACGAAGACAAAAAGAAATTCACCAACTTCCGTAATGATATACATATGCACAGTATCTACACACATATTACATCCGCAAGTATTTCGGATTTCTTTTGTTAGGCAAAAATGGTGGTGAAATATCAAATCTTAATTCACATTTATCAAATGCAGAGGAAGGAAATACATCACCCCAATTTTGTTGTCACGAAATTCGGCAAACCCAAGTTTCGGATTCGAATGCATTACAGTTAAAACTGAGTTTAGGCTTGAGCTGTTTAGAGATTCATCATGTAATACGCAATAAAGAACAAAAATTTAAGAAAACAAATCCAGTATCTAATCACAGATTAACACTAACAAACCCTAAAATTCAGTTCAATGACTCGATCCAAAAAACTGAGCGGAAAGCATCCAACCACCGAATTGAATATAGAATAAACCACAACACAATCATATCTTGACCTAAATGCGCAGAGAAAACATGGAGGGAAAAATTGAGAGAGGAGAGAGAAGAGTACCTCGTGGCCGGCGTCGGCCCAGGCGAGTTCGGACGTGAATCGGACAACGGCGAGAGCGGGATCTTCCTCGGAGGTTTGCACCACAGTCGTCATTGTTGGAGCTCTCCGCAGCTGCAATTTGGTTGTTGTTTTGCAGCAGAGAGAGAGAGAGAGAGAGACGAAAACCCTAGCCGAGGCTTAAGCTATCTATCGTCTATAAGTTTCGTGTGCGATTATAGATGGCTATTATCGTCCATAAGTTTCGTTTATTTGCTACCGCACTCGTAAGGTAGGGTGCCCCCAACTAATACGAGAGGTTTAGGATGTACTTAAAGTGACTTCATATTCAGAAGCGTAGTGAACAGATTTCAACCAATCATATCTCACTTGACCAAGGTTTTGTCACTCATCAATTGTTTTAACACCCTGCTTAGTTACAAGTTTACATTATTAGACTCGACTATAAGTTTTGTTTATATTCGGGGTTGTTATTTATTTAAATTTAAAAAAAAATTGGTGAAAAATCAATATAATTTGCTAATTAGTCATATATTAATAGTTAATTATTGTTTTTGACCTAAATAATGCTATACTTTATAGCTATTTTTACTCAACCCCCTAACCCAAAGCGACGGTTACTGCCCCTTGTCACATTCTAACCCGGGGCGAATCACTTCCCAGACTCGCTTCACCACCGTAACACGATATTATCCGTTTTGGGCTTACCATTCCCTCACAGTTTTGTTTTTGGGAACTCACGAGCAACTTTCCAATGGGTCACCTATCATGGGATTGCTCTAGCCCCCTTCTCGCTTAACTTCGGAGTTCCTACGGAACCCGAAGCCAGTGAGCTCCCAAAAGGCCTCGTGCTAGGTAAGGATGAGAATATACATATAAGGATCACTTCCCTGGGTGATGTGGGATGTCACAATCTATCCCCCTTAAGGGCCCGACGTCGTCGTCGGCACACCACGGTCAGGGTTAGGCTCTAATACCAAATTGTCACATCCTCGCACGGGATGGATCACTTCCCGGCCCCGCTCCACCACCGTAGCACGATATTGTCCGTTTTGAGCTTACTATTCTCTCATGGTTTTGTTTTTGGGAACTTACAAGCAATTTCCCAGTGGATCACCCATCATCGGATTGCTCTAGCCCCCTTCTCGCTTAACTTCGTAGTTCCTACGGAACCCGAAGTCAGTGAGCTCCCAAAAGGCCTCGTGCTAGGTAAGGATGGGAATATACATATAAGGATCACTCCCCTGGATGATGCGGGATGTCACACCCCTACTCCAAAATCATGACATGTGTCAAATTAGCTAATCGTGGTTATTTTACGTACTTACTAGGGGTTAGGGGAGTTGAGTAAAAACAGACTCTATATTTTATTTCTAGAAATTTTAGCAGTAGGATGACTTTGATTGAGTTGGATTGAGTTTTAATATCAAATTTTGATTGAGTCTCGAATTATATGTTCATATGGATTGCAATTGTGTGTACCAAGCATTTTTTGATGACGCTCTCAACGAACATGCATTCCACGAAGCACTAGATAAGTGCTTCTCCGAAGAAGCACTACAAATCCTCAATTATTTTTTTTAAACTTTTTTTTAATCAAACATTGCTGAAAACGCTTTTAATTGTTAGAAAGTGTCTTTAACACTTTTAAAAGTAATTTCAAACGAGTCCGAATCGGTGAATGGATGAAGTAGAGAGTACAATGAAAGCCAAAAGACAAAGAACTGCAGAACCAGTGCATTATGCGCTTGCATTTGGATTTAGTAGCCAAATTTCCATCCATCATACAACATTACATTTGCAAACATGACATTTTTGGAGCATGTAGGTTTCATATTTATGAATTATACATACATATATGTATATAATTGTGTATACTATCAGTGCTGTAATTCAGTTGCTGATGTGATGATTTCTTTATAAGCAAGTTTCAGTTCCCACTCCCACCACCAAACAAGTAGCCAAGGGATGATCCGCCGCCGGGAGCAGCGTGAACCTTGGTCGATGGACGATCCTGCATCCACATACATAACCCGTCATCAACAAAAACATATCCTCATTTGATAAACAACGAATGCGCCATCAAATATTGCATCTGTATTTTAAATAGGGGCGTTTTGATACAGGCGCTTCGTTTTTTTGTTTTTTAGATTAAACATACACTCATTTTGAAAATTTGATCAAACATTTTCCTAAAATTTTGGTTATTAATTTCAGTTTTTCACATAAGTTCAATTTTGTTTAAAATTTTAGTTTTTCACGACTTCTCCTGGACATTTCGTTTTCTTTTTTTCTTTTTTTTTTCTTTTCCTATTATCCCTATATTTATGCATTTATTATCCATCTCTATGCATTTTTTTATTGTTTGTTATAATTTTTACTTTTTTTTTTGTAAATATAGTAGAATATTTATAAAAAAAAATTGTCATATTTTATTATTTAGAAGACCCAACACATATGATTATATAGCTACGTCTAGTTACCTATAATATAGACACATTTAGTTTTATATTGGATTTGATTTTTTGTATTTCTCGGTACATTTGGAATGTAAATGTACCAAAAAGGGTTATCTAATATAGACATTTGATTTTGTGGTACATTTGGATTTTTTGTTCATTTGGTCTTTTGGTACATTTGGAATCTAAAAGTACCAAAAGGGTTACCTGACAATGGGCACATTTGGTTTTATGGTACATTTGGTTTCTCTGTACATTTGAAATATAAACGTATCAAAAGAGTTACATAACAATAGGTACATTTGGTTTTATGTTACATTTGAATTTTTGGTACATTTGGTTTCTCGATACATTTGAAATATAAACGTACCAAAAGTTGATACTTTTGTTCTTAAATGTACCATAAGTTTTAAGTATATTTTTTATATATCTATACATGAAAAAAAAAATGTATTGAAGACTTTTTATTGAGACATTTTTAATAGAAAGAGATATTTTTTTTTAATACTGGTAATAAGGAAATGAGGAATTAGTTAAGTAATTTTTTATTTTATTTTATTAAAAAAATATCATTTAATGCGTAGAAGGGGATTCGAAATTAAATTCCTATATTATAGGCAATCAATTGCTAAGCTACCTTATGCCTCTATATAAATGCATTTAAATTAATGACATAAAAATTAAATAAAAAGAAAATTATTGAGGTGGCAATTGATCAAAGCACCTTAATCAAATCTTTAAAATGAATGAATGTTTAATCTAACAACTATAGAAAAGATATAAGGCATTCTAATTTTCCCTTTAAATAATGTACGATAACATGGTGGTACGTTGTTTTTGCTACAACGACACCAACATGCTATCAATAATCTGTCCACAGTTACAGAACAGACGCATGTGACATAGCCGGACTAGACTTGCACGACATGGTTCTGCGACAAAGACAGAGTTATAACCATAAGCCTATGAAACAAGTAGACTAATTAAAAGATTACGCACCGTGATGAAATTTCCGCAGTTCTGGCCATCAACTCGGAGGTAATTGTTCGTAGGCTTGCTGTGAATTCCCGCTGGAAGCTGCTTACCGCTCGGTGACGAAGCAGGAGCTGGAACTGGGCTAGCATTCTGAGGTGGTGGTGGTGTGCTGTTAGTTGTTTTTGGGGTTTTGTTAGCAGTGGCAGTCTCTCCACCTCCAAACAAATACCCCAAAGAGCTTTTTCCACCACCGCAGCTGACTCCACGCCCCATATTTTCTTCTCCTATTTCCAGCAACAAGTCCCAAACCAAACATGTTATTTCAAAGGATTGCCACATTTGCACTTGAAAGTTTAGACTTTGATCACAAGACAACCTATATTTGATAATTAAAGCGGGTATCGTACGATTTATATCATGATGAAGTATGCAAAACCCGGCTAAAAGATACCGATGAACGCAAAATTTGTCCATACAACAACAGATTATCGACGCATTACAAGCGTATTACAAGATAGTGATTTAACCATATGCACTCTAAATTGAATATTGTAAAACTTTTTATGCAATTGCCGGAGAAGTGCAGAGGCTAAACGAGGAAGAACAAAACCGTAGCCCTAGAAGAAAATGTACCACCTCATGTGCACAAGGCATTGGTATATATTACCAGAGAAAAGGGGGGACAATTAACATGAAATTGGAAAAACAGAAACAAACAATCAGATCATGCCAAAGAAAACATTGTAATTGATCTGAATTTTGCACAGATAGAAAAAAAAATAATGGAAAATTAACGTACGTTGTTTTTGCTTCCCCTTTCTCTTGGGGCCTGAATTTTGGAGCCCTGCAAAAGCAACAGAGAGATTTGTTCGTGTTTACATTTGGTTTTTCTAACCAGAGACATGGTCAATTTCTGAGCTGGCGATATGGTTCGACTCCGCACGTGGCGTCATTTGGGATCATCGATACACTGTTGCGCACCCACATTGGTGAGGTGGCAACTCGTCCAACTGACTATAACTCACGTGATGAGAGAAAAATAAAATATATCCCGAATGGTTGCAATCTGGAAATTTTGCAATGAATTGTGTCCAAAGGTTTGGTGTGACATGTTTCATTTTTGTATGTTTACTCAAAGTTTGAAGTCTAAACTTCATTTGAGTCCTACTAAAACAAACTTCTGTACAGGGTGACGAAATTGCATTTGATCGGAAAATTTCCTCAAAAATACGAACTCATTTGGAAGCGTTTTTTAAAATGACTGAAACTACTTTTAGCAAAAATGGTTTTGGATTCTAAGCATTTTAAATGCTTTCCAAGATTCATTTGTATTTTTACTAAGGATTGATTCCCAAAACATTTTCACCAGAAGCGCTTTCAACCATTTTAAAAGCACTTCAGAACGAGCTCGGCATCTTTTTGTGAACATGTCTTATAAAACGAACAAACACACAACTTTTATCCTATAGCTATGTTCATTTACATGCTTACTCGAGATCCTATCTAATGGAACCATAAATTACGGATGATTCCGGCGGCATTTCAATCATATGCCAGCGGAGATCAACAAAGAACAGTTTTATAGACGACACCCAGCCGGAAAAAGGTGGTGCTTCTATGAAGAAATCTTTGAAATCTCCACCAATAACCTGTGCAGGGCTTGAGGCTTTGAGAAAAAAGGTGAGTGATCAGCGCCTTTCAAGCGAAGGACCTGTTCCGGAGGGCTTTCTTTATCATGCTCTCCTGGGCTGTGATGGGTATGGCATTGTCTTCAGATGTTTCTATATAGAACCGCCTCACCGAACCATATTTCATGTCGGATAATGAGAGCTTCTCCAGAACCGGGGCAAATGGAATTGGCCTCATAGAGACGGATGCCAATGCGACATCCTAGAGCAACAGAAGTAAAAGAAATTAGCGAAACTGATAGGGAAAAATGGACAACCACTTGGATGTTTTTCGTCGAGAGTTTGGTACATTTAAAGAAGTGAGGCATTACCTTGGCAGGACTTTGGTTAAATAACAAATCCTTCAACAATGATTTATCAAGATCAATAGCAGTTGGAGGCTGATCATTCCCATTTGCGTACAAAAATACTTGGGCTTGTCGCATAAGATCGTCTGAACTTGCCTGCAATAATTCTAAGCATTAGTCACTCAACAATCCACATAAACCTTATATAAGTTATTCAGTTCAGAATTACGATACTCATGTGTAAATATTCCGTAAAACATAGTGACAGGACGCGAGGCAAAATGCTATTGCAAATTACACACGGAAGAAAAATGGGTTCTTTAAGTAGATTCAGAGGATAAATATTAAGTAAATCTATCTACACATATTAAGGTTCCAAGGGATACGAAATCTAATGTCAGATTTCAGATTTTGAAGTCCATTCACCTAAGGGAAATCACAGATTTATCAATTCAAAGATAAAAAAGTCTGAGGGAAAACCTGTTGGGAGAACATTTCAAGAGTACTTTGTCCATTCTGTAACATTGCTGCAGCAATAAAAATGACCTTGGCGACTTTATCTGGAAACAACTCCATTGTATATGATACACATGCACCACCGAAATCATGACCCACCAGTATTACCTGCATAACACAGCAACCGAACAGATAGAAACAGAGAAGTTATATACTGAATTCGTATACTAGTCTATGTAACCAAACAATAAATATAGCTCGTATTTTTCAGCGTGATTTTAGAGCAAGTACATGTTTTTCAGACATAACTGTCTTAGTTTTGTTTATATGAACATTCCAAAACGAGCTTAGTTATAGAGTCTCAAAGGAGTGCAAAGTCGCAAACTTGACATGCCATAGATCTTGAAAGCTATACATGCGGCGTATCAAATTACCAACAAAGTGAGCACCTTTCGAAGGTCAAAGTAGTGAAATCTCAATTTTACCAATTATAAGTGAGGATTGGCAGTGAACTAGTGTTAGGATGACCATGGAACGAAATTCAAGCTAAAACAGCAGCATAGATAAGAATAGGAATCTGGAAAAGTAATTGGAAAGCAATTGAATATACCTTCTTCCCCTCTGGAAGTTTTTCGAGAAAATCAGAAAGAGGCTTCACGTATTGTGAAAGACTTGTAACGCTGTTTGTATCAGATGAATGAATACCAGAGCCGTCAAGTCTACGGCAGTAACTTTAAAACCACCCTCCTCTAGAAGTGCAATGGTTTTATACCAACACCAAGCACCGAAGCCACCTCCATGTACAAGGACAAAATGGTTGGTTTCTAGATCATCAAGTTTAACGTCCTATCAAAACACAATCTTTGTTATGAACCAAAAGAAATTCGACAATGGCAACAATCGAGCACGTCATTGTGGAAACTAGACAATAACTTAATCAAATCAGTGAAAACAAACCGTATTCGAACAATCACAACAAAGGAATTCCATACAACAACATCAGAAACATCACGTTGATTCTCTGCGCCATTATTTACATGATCATGGTAGTTTAAACCCGCCACTTCTCGGCGTTCGGTATAAACATTGACGTAACTTGAAATGCAAGTTAATTCATCCAAAAAGATAAAACAAATTGCAACATATGGAATTTAATTAAAACAAAAATCGAACATCTTTAAGGTACACAAGTACGTATGCAAAAACAGAGGTATACACACGTACAGATATAAATATGCATGTATTTGTCAGTTTGTGCACGTGTGTAAATAGCGAAGAACACCCAGAAGAGGACATTGCTAATTCGGTCCACAATCCACTCCAAGTTCGAAACTTTAATCCAAAAATTAACAAAATTAATCCAAAATTAACAAAATTTAATCCAAATTAACAAAATTTAATCAAAAGTCATTAACACTAACCTGATTAACAAGCTGGTGGGGCTGGAGGAGGGGGTCGGTGAGGGACCTGGCGCGGGAGCTGGAGCTGCGGGGCAGGGCGTTGCTGCCCTTCTTGGAGGTGGAATTGGGGTAGCGGAGGGAGGCGGAGCGATCAAAGGGCAGAGAGCCGTTCTGCTGGTGCTGCTGGAACAGAATTGCGGCGGCGAGAGCTTGTTCCTGGATTAGAGCGTCGTCGAGCTTCTCTTTCCGGGAGGATCGGACACGGGTCCAGCGGTTGCTGGAATTGGGTTGCGCCGGCGGGTTGGGTAGGCGCTTTATGGGCTTTCGCTTGGCGGGTTTGGGTGCGAGGATGGCGCAGAGGTTGCCCATTGGGATTGGTAAAGCATGTAGAGGGAGACTGTGAGGGGAGGGAGAGAGAGAGAGAGAGAGAGAGAAGTTAAAAGGAGGCAAAGAGGAGGGTGATGACTGATGAGCTGAAAGAGTGGTGGCAAATAGGCCGAGGGGTGAGCTGAGAAGGTGGACTGATTGGGTTGGTCGATGCTTGAGGAGGTTTAAATATGTATTTATAGACTAATAGAGAGGGTGTGGAATATTATGGTAAACCAGTATCGAGACTCGGTTTCCTTCGTCACATATTTTTTCTACGATATTTTATAATATTTACACGAAAAGTGATGTTTAATTATGAGATTGTAGAGAGTCTTACTTTAAATAGTATTCTTAGCATTTCTCATGGTTAACAACTTCATAACTGTCACTTAGAGTAAGAAGTTTTAGATTCGATACTCGTCAAAAACGAATTTAAACCACATTATTACTAAATTATTGTAAGACTACGTAATACCGCTCCTTAGTGAAGATACTATCTTTCTTTCACACAAAAAAAAAAAAAAAAAAAAACTTCGTACTTTGGGTTTTCCACTTTTGGGCCGAGTCTCATACATTTTTTATCGGTTGGTGATTAAGATAACATTTTATATTGAATTAGTCAACTTATTGACTCTAGTTAATCTAATTTTTAAAATTTTTTTTTTACAAATTAATTCTCTAAATTACTATGTAAATAGGTTTAAATTTGAGTGCAAATGCAATAGTGAACCTGCTCACAATTTTGACCAATTAATTTAACTCACGCTTTTTTAGAAAGTTGGAAGTGGATCACACCTCATTCAAATCAAACTCAATGCTCAACCTCACCGTAACATGTGAGCCAGTAACTTAGAAGAGAAATTAAGGGAAATTTAAAATTTTAATAATAGTTATCTTTTGTTATTTCAAACTTTTTAAGCTTCTGAATTTATTTACATTTGAGAAATGTTCATCCACACACATATTATACATGGTGAATACATATAAGAATGTTGTTATTACCGCTTTAAAATAATCAATCTGCACTGAAAAATTTATGAGAAAAATATATAGGAACATAGGTTTTTTTTCATTTAAATCTTTCTGTACTTGCATTTTGTTTACATATAGATATAGGTAACAAATTCATTATTGAGTATCATAAAAGCATCAATAAACAACTAAATATAGTTATGTTGTTGTTCATCGGGATAATTAATTAGGTACCCACCACTCATCATTGTAATGGAATTTTGTTGTGGCCTCTTTTTTCTTCAATGATGATGAAATATACTCTCTGACAAGAAAAAACAAAACATAAAAGTTATCCTAGTTAGCCGTACTCATCCTCACTAATGAATTAGGGTTTGTAGTTATAGGATTGAGATTCTCTCCGAATCTCACATTATGCTAATCATGAATCGAGAATTCGAACTGTTCAATTTAAATTATGATATTTCCATTAGTTTATCTCATTGACCCATCTCATAAGGACCGAAAAATTTAAACTATATTCAACTTTAATCGTACCGTTCATATTTCTCAGTTTGTTAGCTCCAGAGTGTGAGTTTGGAGAGTATCTCAAATCAATCCGTAGTTGTGAGATTTTGTTAACTTAAGGCCCACTCATTTAAATAGAATTTTGATACTATAATTTGTCTTAAAGCTTGAAACCAGGCATAACAAATTTGATTTGATTTTTCATGTCGTGTCGGCGTTGCAGTTACCTGACGATGATGTTTTGGGAAAGAGACTAATTTCAGCATTTCCGGTGAGCAATTGATCAGTTAATTCCTTAGGACTCATACTTTGTCAGTTTCTAGCAAGTAGCAACCACTATGCCCAACATTTATTCTTCATTCCGACATTAAATTTTTTGCACATTTTGTTTGTGATTTTTCTAGTCTCTGTTATCGATTGATTTGTATTAAGTTTATGACAACAAAATTAATAAAAATTGAGTTTATTAACACGTGTCGATTCATGATAGATGTCACAAAGATGCTGCAAAAAAAAAAAAAAAACGGTTTAGAAGATTTGAACTCCTTCATTCTAACCATCACAATACAACATTGTGTTGCTAATTCACTCATATTGTGATGTTATCGATTCAATCATATTATAGTACGTGTATTTACTTAATTAGTTATATGTCAATGAAATAGAAAAAATGTACATCATTATTCTTTGCATGCACATCTCTATTGGTTTTTGGCCTTTAAATCAACTAAAATAAAGTAGAATCAAAGAACAAAAGTAAACATAAATAAAAGGAGTGTGTATTTAGAAAGAGAAAAATGTTTTGAGTAAATCATTTCCTACGAAACATCAACTGTGCAGTTTATTTTACTTATAATATTATAATATGTACGTAAATATAATAATAACATTATACAGCGGTATAATTCTCTCGCCCCAAAAAATTTGGTACACAAGGAAGCCACCAAACAAGCGATATGTACGATTACGATCCAACTAAACTCAATCACCCGATGCACATTCAGAAAAAGGTATGGTTAATTTTTATGACAAACTTGAATGGTAAATGGGATACGTACGTTAAATTTATCGTAAGTAACAATTGTTGGACTTCATATGAATCATATAAAAGACCTCCCTAATAATATCACAAATGTCATGACAAATGTTAAGGAAAAGGGAAGGGAAAGATGCTAAGAGTGTCACAAATATTATAGCTTTTTCCAACTTATAACACAAAGAATTAGAGCTATAATATGAATCTTAGATACCATTATTTTGATAATCCTCTTGATTGAATTGTAAGTCGATTATTTGATGATATGGTAGGAGTCCTTAGAACTTGAAACTCTTTGAGATAGCCTTTGGATGAGCCACCTCCTTACGTTACTAAAAAAAAAAAAATTTGACAACTTCAATCAATTCTAGTACCAAATACTTTTAATTTTTGCCAAATTTCCAGTACTGTCAGGGAGGAACTTTTTAGGTTTCTTTTGCATATTATCATTAAGAGTGCCCTTGTCAGAAGGAAATTCTTAACAACCAAACAACAAGGGAAAGGTTGCACTCATTCTTTATATACCAAATTTTAGCTGGAAAAGGATTGATCTCATGATATGAGCAATAGAAAAGCTAAGATCCTAACTTGAAATAGCACAATGTAGCACATCAAAATTTGTAACAAATTAATCAAGATTACAAGTTTGAACATGATCAACATGGTCTCTACTTGATAAGAGCAGGTCTCGAGTTCGACTCATACATATGCTAGAACGATATACACATAATATATATATATGTATGTATGTATTTTTAATAAGTTTGATATTAAGTTGTGATCCATTATAGACTAAGTGACTAATTACACGTTGTTTAAGTGTAAATACCATATCGTCTGACCAAAAAAAACACCAAAATCACAACTACAAGTAGTGCATGTAACGTAAAAGTGATCTATTTCCCCAAAAAAGTGCGATACTATTTCTTAATCTAAATTTCTGGTTTGTTTTAAGTATTCAGAAAGAATTGAAAATGTTGTATTATTTCTTGATTGGATTGTAAGTCGATTATTTGATGATATGGCAGGAGTCCCTAGAACTCGAACTATCTGTAACAACTCTTTGAGCTAGTCTTTGGATGAGCCATCTCCTTACGTTACTAAAAAAAAAAAAAATTTGACAACTTCAATCAATTCTAGTACCAAATTCTTTTAATTTTTGCCAAATTTCCAGTACTGTCTGGGAGGAACTTTTTAGGTTTCTTTAGCTATACATCATTAAGAGTGCCCTCATCAGAAGGAAATTCTCAACAACCAAACAACAAGGGAAAGGTTGCACTCATTCTTTATAAACCAAATTTTAGCTGGAAAAGGATTGATCTCATGATATGAGCAATAGAAAAGCTAAGATCCTAACTTGAAATAGCACAATGTAGCACATCAAAATTTGTAACAAATTAATCAAGATTACAAGTTTGAACATGATCAACATGGTCTCTACTTGATAAGAGAAGGTCTCGAGTTCGACTGATACAGATACTAGAACGATATACACATAATATCTATATATATATGTATGTATGTATTTTTAGTAAGTTTGATATTAAGTTGTGACCCATTATAGACGAAGTGACTAATTACACGTTGTTTAAGTGTAAATATCATATCGTCTGACAAAAAAATACACCGAAATCACAACTACAAGTAGTGCATATAACGTAAAAGTGATCTATTTCCCCAAAAAAGTGCGATACTATTTCTTAATCTAAATTTCTGGTTTGTTTTAAGTATTCAGAAAGAATTGAAAATATTGTATTATTTTCTATGATCAGTAGGTAGATGAGTAGCATGATTGCTTTGGTTATGCCACATAAATAAAGTTGGTTGGGTCCAGAATTAAGTTTTGATATGTATATTTTCTGGCAGTAGTAGTAGTACTGCTCGACGTTTTCCCTTTTCTTTTTAAGCGAGGCATGCATGGGGGTGGTGGGAAGTAGTGGTTTGCAGATTTCGTATATCAATGCCCATCCAACCTCCACAGTCCATATTTTAATTAATTTTCCACCTTACCTACCAACTGCACACATCTCCCTCGTCTCTCTAATCCACAGCCCAGCCGGTTAATTAATTTCTTTTTCTAGTTGTTTTATATCAAAAGAATTGGACGTGAAGAACAAAGTGTCGGTTGTCGATTACCTAATGTACTCTTTCTTTTTCTTTATCCAAGCTTGGAACCAACAGTGTAAGAAAAACTTACACATGCGGAGTTATAACAGAAGATTTGGCGCAAAAATGAGTGCAATGGCGTTCTAGGAATTTGATGAATCAAAGACCTATAAATACCCCATTTAGAAGATGCATCTATGAGACGGAGGCTTATGACAAAATGGATACATGAAGACCTTAGAAAACTTGGAAATAGACTATAAGAAAAGATATGGAGTACTTGGAGTTAACAGATCGAAAGACTTAGGTGCAAAATCAAGTGCAATAATGTTTTAGAATTCATACAACTGACCATACTTAATAAAATAAGACTTCATTGTTGTTTTATCTAGTATATGAATGAGGTTCATAGGTTAGCTGCAGCAAAAATATATTACGATGGAAAATGAGAGTGGGAAAAGTAATGTGATTTCTTATCTAACAGACAATGTTTCGCGGGGAGAAAATGCGATGATGAGTAAGTTTGATCGGTCTATTACATCGTTTGGACATGTTTGAGACTGTTTATGTTAAATTTAAATTGCATTCTACCAACCCAAAATGCTTTTAATAAATACGTTTGATAGAATACTTGAAAGAGTTTCTAGGTCTTTGAAGTTGTTTTTTAAGAAGCACTTCCTAAGTGTTTTTTAAAAAAAAAAACTTGGGTAACAGTAAAAACTTCATTGTGTTTCTTGCAAATACACCTATAAAGCAAAAGTAATTCCTATAAAAGCAGCATCATTCTAATAAATCTTGGTTGGTGTTTGGACCACCAACAAGGCTCCTGAACTCAAATGTTGGACTAGAGTTAGAAATAATCGGGTCCATTTGTCCCTAGTTGAGGAGAGATTCATATTCTTCTGAATGTTTGGCCCACCAACAACATGATAAGTTCTTATTGGACATGTAGATCATTTTTTAAACACATGACAAATATTATTTGACCGAGCAATGCTACAAAGACTATAAATAAATAGTTGCAAAAGAGAATCTCACTCTTTTGATACACGATCCAAAACCAAGCCAATCATAACCATCCATGTCCAGTACTCAACTCATTCCAATGCTATTCATATATATATATATATATATATGTGCATATATGTGTATATACTTTCACTCCGTCATGTGGAAACCTGAGAATTAATGGGTAAATTTGTCCACAACTCATATAAATTTAGGACCACTTAAGCTTTTGGTTCTATTGGGGATTCTGCAACTGGAGAGAAAAATGCACGAAGGCATCATAGCAAAGCATATGTTAGATGGAAGCTACTACCTATAGCTTTCAGTCAGCAGATGCAGGCTCAACAATTATCTAATACAAAAGCTTGTGAATATATAATCATGACATGCATGATAAGCACATGATCCTAATAACCTTCGTGCAAAGCTACACGTGGCAAAGACCCAATTGGCCACGACCAGGCTTTAAAAGATTTGAGCACATGAAAACGAGCTGATCATTTGAAGTAAAGAACACTATAAGTACTAGACAGAACATTTCTAAACTTATTAGGAGATTTGTTTGCCTTTCGTTTGTATACTTTTCAAACCTTATTGGCATTTGTTTGACTTGTGGTCCAAGGTTTCTCGGATCGGCAAGTCACTCGAAGAAAAAGTTTTGATCTTGAGGCATCAATCATCATAGTTCAAGGGGTGTGGGGGGGGGGGGGCTCTAGTTAGCAAAATGTTACGCGTGCACGATTATGAGACTCACATGCATCTAGATATGGGGTGACATTTTAAAAAATAATAGTAAAGTTAGTGGCGCATGACTGATTCTTAGCTATTGATGTATGTGGAAATATTAGTTAAGAATCACTAATGTGAGTAAAGAATGGTTGTAACATATGTTTAGGGTTTTATTAGTCAAGGATAGGCGAAACTTGCATGCTATTCATACTACATCCAATGGTACAAATATTCGGTCCACATGCATCATCGGTTAAGAATCTTACACGCACGGGAAACAAACTGTAGCAAACCGTCAACCATACAAGGCTACAACCCCTAAAAATAGTTTGCCAATCCAATGCCTTAATTGGGCTAAGCTAGCAACCCAATGATTGAGCCATGGGCATCATAGGCCTGGATCTTAATAGATAGCAGCAGCAAGTGGGCCTACTGGTCGGGGGCTAAGACCTAACATTTGAGGTTGTGGGTTGGTCTTGATTGATTGCTCAAACGTGGTCATTAGTTGTCTTCGAGATCTTCTAACAATCCGATTAATCCGCCCCCACCTCCTCCTCTTCCTCTCCCTCCCTCTCCCTCTCCAAACTCAGAGGTCAGCTTCCTCCGCAGCGACGCGGGATACCAAAGGTCAAATCTTTCTCCCTCTCTCTCTCTCTCCTCTCTCTCTCTCTCTCTCCCTCTCTCTCTCTCTCTCTCTCTCTCTCTCAAATTTGAGAATTTATACATGCAACCTGAATTCATATGGTATTTTACACGTACTAGGAACTACCTTTGACAATCCGATTTGCTGTGTTCCAAAGTTTGATATCTGTTGGATGAAATCTGTTTGTTTCCCCAGAAAATAACGTAGGAAAAATGCCAACTTGTAAAAACTAAAATGTTCGAATAATTCACTTGGTTATTGGTTTGGTGGGTTCATTTAGTATTCTATTTGTTACATGGGGAGTAAAATTTAAGGTTTGCAATTCTAAATAGATGGTAGGTGAGTTTCTTGTTGCAGCTTGTAGAGAGCAGAAGTATTATTTATTTATTTATTATTCCCTAAAAATACGGTCAGCATTAGCTTACATATTAACTAGCTCATTGAGGGCGAGATTTGATGTAACGAAAAGGTTGCTCCTTTGTGACCGAAAGGTCAAGGGTTTGAGTCATGGAAACAGCGTCTTTGTAAAGCAAGATTAAGGCTGCGTACCATATGTTCCCCCAATCTGTTTGCGAGGAGCCTTGTTGGATTGGGGTCATCCTTTATTGTGCGGATGTAATTCTTCAATTAAGTCAATCTCAGATGATTTTGTTTCTTGTACTCCATATGTAGTTTTGAATTTTCTTTCAGAAGGTGGTGTCTTTCGCAAGTTCTGTTGAATGACGCTTGAGCTAATCCTTTTGTTTCGTAATGACTTATTGGACCTAACAAAATACTAACTTGAATTAGTGAATAAAACAGTAAGGCAAGCATGAGAGAAGAGAATTTAACGGGGTTTGGCTGTGTGTGACTACTTGCAAAGGAAGTGGAAATTAGTAGTGTTACAGCCACGGGTATATGGAACGATACAATTACAATCGATCACCAATAATTAAGCAAAGAATTATGATGTAAATAAGCTACAAGATGAATTTCTCTATTTTTTTTAATTATTTACATTGACAGTTTCTGTGGATCATCTGGTGCTTATAATGTTTCGTAAAGTAGTGCACTTGTGTGTAAATAATTATTGAGAAAGACTATTTATTTCGTCTTGTTGAAAGATCATTGTTTCCATACTGCCCACAACTTGCAGGGAAGTAGAGAAAGGGAATGATTGAGGGTTCTGTAGAACGTGGGGAAACTGACCTTGTTAGACGGATAGTAGAAAGCGATCATTCTAAGAAGATCATAGCTTATGATCAAGAGTACTAGTTCCTTTACAATGCCCAAGGGTGAAGTCCAAGTTAATCTCTTAGTGAATGCAGCACCTCGGCCTTCCATTGTTAGAATTATGGAGACAGGTGCAGAAACAACCAAAAATCGTGTGCGATCGAATCAAGTGTTGAAAAAGAAAAGAAGAAGGAGACGTAGGATGAAGAAGCCAAATTTACTGCAAGATACAGGTCTAGTTGAGAACCTGCCTTGGGAATATGGTCAAAGTGACGCTAATCATATGCATAGATTGTCAACTTTAAGTCTATCTGATGAAAGAAGTGATGACATTGTAGTTATTTCATCAGGAGGTGTTAAAACCATGAATGAAGAGGACAACAGATCAGGAATTTCAAATATCTCAATTGTAAGAACACCTGTTTGCAATACAGAGAAAAAGCTTCTTATTCTTGATATAAATGGACTACTTGCGGATATAGTCTCTCCTCCTCCAAAGGGACTTGCATCTGACATACGAATTCAACGGCGAGCAAGTGAGAAACTTTCTGTATTATTGTTTCACTTATAAACTCTAATACTTTATTGTTCTTTGTCTTTAATTGCGTCATTACTTTCTTTGTCCAGTTTTCAAGAGGCCCTTCTATCTTGATTTTCTTAAGTTCTGCTTTGAGCGTTTCGAAGTGGGTGTGTGGTCTTCAAGATCCAAGTAAGTTTGTTATCCTTTCTTTCTTTCGTTTTGCTTTTATTCATTTATTCTTTTATTTTAAATTTAAGAACTTTTATTTTTGTTTCTGCCTCTGTTTACTTTAGCAATATCTCGGTTTGTTAACTTATACATTAGTTTTAGGAATAGTTAGTGACAGCAATACCTATTAATTTGTTGAAGGAGAATTGTGGAAAAAGTGATTGATTATCTGATGGGTGATATGAAGCACAAGTTGCTGTTTTGTTGGGTAAGTGCTTATATCCCTGTTCGTTTTGGGCATCATCTAACATTTTATATGTAGAAATTGCAATAACATTCTCGATTCAACCTTTATTGCTTGCTCTTATCCTCAATTACTGTTTGGGATGATCTTGCAATGAGTCAGAATTAAAGAATTTTCATGAATCTTTATGATTCGTATGGCATGCAAATCGTTGTCTAAATATTATTGCTATGTCTATTGATTATTTCTTTGTTATGTCAAGAATAGTTGTCCTTTTTTCTCAGCTAATTACTTTGGTGACAGAGAAACAAATTATCACTAGATAGATACCTTTTCCTACTAATGGGCTCCTGCAACCATAAAATAGCTCAAACATTGATTTCCTTGCATCCGAGTTGTGGACATCTTGATGGATTTTATGATGGCGTTGCAGGATCTATCCCACTGCACTGCAACAGGGTTCAGGACTCTAGAAAATAAGCATAAGACCTTGGTTTTTAAGGAGCTGAGGAGAGTATGGGAAAAACAAGACCCTGGTCTTCCGTGGGAGAAGGGTGCATATAATGAATCAAACACAGTGTTGTTGGATGATTCTCCCTACAAGGCCTTGCTTAATCCTGTAAGCTTCACTTTTAATTCATCTGTTCTCTTCTTTTGGGATACCTATTTAAGTAATTCTAAATTTTGGTTTTGTATTGAACTCTCGTCTCATAGGCACATACTTCAGTGTTTCCGTATCCATTCACGTTCCAGCGAGGGAGCGACACTTCATTAGGTAATAAAATATGTTCCTTACTGCTTAATATCTTTCTTTTAAAGTTTGCAAATGATGAAATTTTGAGAAACTTTGAGAGGGGATACACTTGTGGGATTTTCCCAGTTCTTCGTTCTTTAGTATGAATCCTCTGGTTCATTTGATTGTGGGTATCTGAGCAAAAACAAGTTCTCAAAAATTATACTAAAAAAAGAGAATGTTAGAGTTCTTCAGAAGTTTATACAAATTGACTTGTCAGCTACCTCCAATGTATAGGAGATAGAGTTGTATAGGAGATAAAGTCAATGGCCAATGTTACGAGAGAAGAGGAACCGAAATTCACAGGACACCCTTTTGTTAAATAATGCATCTATCCTAGCTCCATTCCTTGATGACAGAAATATTTACTTTGCAAGGTTGCTTTGTTTTGGTTGTTTGAATGGTATCAAATGTCGTCTTTTTCAACGGGTTAGAGGCAAATGATAAATAAAATGATCGTAATGTATTGCAGGTCCTGGAGGTGATATTCGGGTCTATCTGGAAGGGTTGGCTGCAGCTGAAAATATACAGGAATTTGTAGAGCAACGGCCGTTTGGCCAAGGACCTATTAATGAAAGTAGTGCATCTTGGCCATTCTACCTCAAGGTTCTTAGAAAGGTGTATACTTTACAAACCGCCAACATAACCCGTAATTCTACGGTGAAGGGTTAGGTATGCAAAACTCGTTACTTGTTTTTTTTGCTGTGGCGATCCTTTGCATCTTATGAGGAGCGCTGCTCATCCCCGAAAGGAGTATTCTTCCGAAGCTTTGCCAGAACAAGTGCAGCTGCTTATTTGCCAAACCAGACGTAGCTTGTAGGAGAATTGACCGCTTGAAAAAACTGTGTTCATTGGAACAAATATTGGAAATTTACTTTCTGGTAGATCCATTTTTCACAGTTGTTTTCATTTCAGATCAGATATTGACATTCACATGGTGGGTTTTATGTTATTTTTCTTGAATGCTGAAGAGGGATTAGTTGCATATAAGTGCAAGGAACATCTAAGAGTAGTGTTGTTTTGCTCACCACATATTTATTATAAAATCAGAAATCTATCGAACTAGCTTTTAGCCTAGTGGTAATTCTCTTCCTAACGTTTGCATGCTTTTTACGATAACTTGCCTGCTGTGCGTGGTTAACGTGGATGGGGTTGGTGGGGTCCATGTTGTTAATGAGTTCCTCTCCCTATTAGAACATGTTGAATGGAATCTTATTGGATTTTTTTTTTTTTAATAGAAGTGATAACGTTAATGAGTTAGAATTAATAGAGCGATAACGTATCGAACAAATTTAGATGTTGCATAAAACCCAAGATATGCAATATTTTATTGAAGGTTTTACATGCCTGCCAGTTTATTAATCTAATCTCCCCACCATTCAAAAACAAATAATACCAACTACCAAGATATGTACAATCTCCACGCAAGTGATGGAGATATTACATGGGATGAAGTCTCTCTACCCATGACTCCATGAATGCGATTGATTTTTCCCATACGTGCTTTGGATGATGATTTCGCAGGCACTGTGCAACAGGCGGATGTACGACTGTCGCTGTCTCCTGCATATTTTCATCAAAATTGTACTATGCCCTCCGTTTTCTTTAGCATCTCTACCTAAATTTTGACAACAAAGCTACCGAGTACCACAACTTGTTGAAACACTCATGACTTTGCGATGCCATAATGTTCTCTCTTCCTCAACATTTTAGCTAGAGGTGTTGACTCTTCGACCATTCTGTGTCGAGTTCCCATTCCTCCTCTTGAACCTTCCCCACAAATCTCACACAAGAAAAAGTTTACATATATATATATATATATATATCATCCTTACAAAAATTCAATTCTATAAGAAACCATTTGCCTATTTAATTATCAAGATAAAATTTCATTGTTTCTTATATAACAAAGTATTCGTTAATTTCTTTGAACCCAATTAAATATCTTAAACATTTCCGATTTGGCTAATATTTTGCAAGGATGATTTATAAGGTTCAACTTAAAAAATAGACGGTTCGGATTGTTAAAGTTCGATGTAGTGTGAATCCCACAACTAATCCTCATTTTTATAAAAAAAATGAGGATCCTTTCCTTAAAGATTTCCTATATATATGTATATAAGTTTATATATAGGGACATTATACAAAAGATCATCCCATATGTGTACTGTAGGTTTGTACTCAATTTGAAGGGGGCTGACATGAAATCATGATGCAGCTGCATGGTTCACAAAAATCGTTATGGCACTTCTGAGATTCGGACGATGAAAACAAGGACATACATATAACAACATATGGGGGGCCATGCACAAGGAAAAAACAAAATGGGGCTGGGGCTCCAATGGTTTGATTAGGAAAAGGACTTGCGTGTCAACCTAAGTATCGTTCTCGGAGATTGTGTGGAATTCACGAAACCCAGACGGATGAGGTCTTTTTCCTTGAAATTGGTTTGCAATTTTAACCACTTGAAATCGTCAAAATTGCATCAAGTTTTTCTTATACTGGAATTATATACATTCAAACTTGTCATCAGACATGGCATGTGATGTAGGCGACTTTCGATCCCAATTACCTGGCAAACTGATTTGGATGTTTGGTGCTCGACATATTCCCTATCGCCAATCTTATAAACTAATGAATTTAATCCCACTAATATCACTCTTCTTAGTACACGTGAGACTTGCTATTATTTATTGTTTATAATTCTAATTATATTCCAAGTCCCTGCATTATACAACAGTCATGTGATTGGTAATAATTCAAACTCTCGTTCTTCCCTTAAAGAATAGCAAAAATACACACTTGATGAAGAAGCACAGTGTTGGCTTTTTTTGCTTCACATAATTAAAAACTAAAAATTAAAGAGAAGCTTTCAAATAATTGAGTTGTATGGTTTGGTTTTCTTACGCCCCAAGTTTAGATCTGGCGTAATGTTAGGTTGATCAAATTTTTACACCATATTTGCAAACCATTTGATGTATTACTAATAAGAAATAAGTACATGAATCAATACTTGAGCAATAATACAATCATCGACAACCACATTATATGGTTTACAAAATATGATTTAAATAAATGATCTGCCTAGAATTACCCCTCATATATTTGATGAAGGCTCTCACTCTCACGTACAATCAGGGGATAAGATATGCTTGGTACTTTGACTTCATTAGCCAAACTGAACAAAACCCTCTAACGTGGAACTATTATATATATTCATACACACCTTGTTTAATGGACACACAATTTTGGGTCCTCCATGAAATTCCTAAATAAGAATATTGAGAATAGGAACCGACCTATTATAAATCTCCCTCCTTGTGATTTAGTGCACATGTGATTGTTTATTTTATACACTTAATTAATTAAATTATTGGGAAATTATCCCATTTTATTGTCTTTTACAAAGTTCCTAATTTTGTTGACCGGTAATGTTAGGAAAACTAAATTTATAGATAAAATTTGTAAACTAAATGATGCATCTCCAATAAGAATGAGCACGTTTCTCAACGCTTAAGTCATAATCCAATCATCAAGCTTCATGTCATTTAGTTTACAAAATTTTATCTGCAAATTAGTCTCCCTAGCATTACTCTGTTTACTTTCATAAAGCTCCTAATTTACTTATAAAATATGGTGATTTGATGATGAGAACTTGTGGGTGGATATTTGGAGATCATGTGCCAATCATGGTGGGTGTAGGCTGCGATGCTTCTTCTTGGAACCTAGTTCAGGATTATGATGGTGATGCTTAAATCAGTTGGTCCACGCCAAATGAAGCTAAGCTAAAAGGCAGATAAGTAAATAAATCCTCATGTGATACTTGCACTTTCTCCATGTGGCCCTGCACCCACCACACCCCCTCCTCAGTTTCAATTATATATATGTTTGATATCTATCGGAATCACCGCACCTTTTATCATATAAGATTGCACAAGTTAGACGAAATAATTAAGTTGCTAGCTAGGTAACCAGATGCACCCAGATATTCAGGTATATATGGATTTAGTAATAGGTTAAAGCTAGAAAGTTAACATTCCCCATGCAAGCAAAACTACCTAGCTTATCTCCCAAGTCTTAAATTTAAAGCTAGGTAACTCATGGGTTCTGTAGTGGCTGTATAATGGTTTTATCGACACCTTATTTACAGCAAGTTGTGTGAACTACTCTTCGGATCAAGAAATTAATTTCTGAATAAAACGTACTCATTTGACATTTTCTTGTATTGTGTTGTCTTAATTAATAAAATCTTTTATCCTTTCATGTCAACAAGAAGAAAAGTTAAATTCAAAAATTAAGTAAAAAAGAAGGGAGGGGGAGGTGCGAGAACATCTATCGTACATAACCTTACTCTTATTTTGCAAATAAGCTGTTTCCATGACTCGAACCTGTGATCTTTCAGTCACAAAGAAGCAACTTTTCTGTTGCTTCAAAACTTGGCCTCAAATTAAAAAACTCATAATTTTCTATTACTTAGTTGATGTGATGATGCATACCCACCATCACACTACTAAACAAATCTGAACATATAACGATAGATTTTGGAAAAAAAGTTTTAGGATCTTCACTCCATTGGCATCAATGTATATATTAATAATGTGTGGGCACATCTCAAATCTCAAAAGCCAATAAAAAACTATTTTAGTGTATGTTTCATTCATAAACGGTCACTGCTATGCCAATGTGTGCTGTGTGGTGGTTGTAAATATAATTTTTCTTTTAATTTATATGCAAGAATAGTTAGTATTCTGTATGAAATTAGAATGTCTCTGTATGCAAACATGCTGAAATGCTTCCAAAACGCGGTTTCCATAAACATAAGATAGCTTGGCATTTTTGCTGGCACCTAACATGCATGTTTAGTTGAACACGTACGTCTTAAAAGGCTAAAAAAATATAGTGATGGCTTGAGCGTTACTTATTCGATGGTTAATTAGGTCAGATATGTGCTTTTGGTTTAAAAACGTTGGAGTGATCGATGACTTCGATGAGTACTCATTTTTTTCAAGAAAGTTTTAATTAGGCGTATTTAATTGGGGTTATCAAGAATTCTTAAAAATGCTAGAAGTTTGATTGAGTTTTAATGGACTTTCATATACTCTATTTGAATTTTGAGTGTATGCTTCAAAATCTCAAAGGGAGAGACTGAATTCATTAAGCCTAAAGTTCATTTTTAAAATTCCCGTAAAATTAAATTATGATTGAATACACATTCATTTGACTTCTTCAAAATATAATTGGATATATTTCTGTGTAGACTTTTATAATATATATATATATATATATATATATATATGAATTTATTAAAATTTTGTGTTGGATACTCCTAAATTTTTAGACTCTTAAAAATTATAAAAATTACAATTGAAAACATCCATTAAATTAGTTTTCTGCCATTAATGGAATTATGCTCGTTGTAATTCCACTTCCCTTTTAACTTTTTAACAAATAGGAAAAAAAAGTGTCCAAAAGTCAAGATCTCATGAGGTCATGGCAACGTGTTCTTGTACAAGACATTGAGTCATGCAAATGAGGGCTGGCCAACTTCGGACTAATTTCAAATCCTCGGCTCATTCATTGAAGCAGCCAGGAAATTTTGCATGGCGTTTTAGTTTTATATATTTTCTTCTAAAATTTTGAGCTTTGACGTTTTACACCTATAACAACTAAACCCATTAACACTAAAATTTGTAAAAAAAAAAATTAAAAAAAAAATGTTAATAATACTCGGGCTGGTTTAATGGGTCAAATCCGATCTTTTAAGATATATCCATATCATAAAAAATAAAGTACATATATAGAGAAAATGTTAAGGAAACTCTCTTAAAAGTTGGATTCTCCATAACCTTTCCGCTACTTTATCTTTTCGGTACAATTCCCTTGTTAACATTGTAATACATTGTGACAAAAATTGAGGTGACATACAGGCTATAAAGTGTCTCACTTTAAAATAGCCTCCATAACATTTCTTATATATATATATATATCCATGCTTCATGTTGAGGCAAAGGCACGTGCCCTTGTGACAACCCTTAATTAATTTGCTTACATACATCGTATGGAGATTATCATGAATGCGACTTCTTTGTGTATGCATTCATTAGGTTTAGGTTTGAGTCACTGATTAGTTTAATCCGAGTAGTGATTGGTCAAGATAATGCTACCATTTGTAGCTAGTTCTTCGCCGTTTGCATCTTTTCTTCATCTTGTAACCTCAAACTCGTATCAACTAAAAATAAAAAACAAAGACATTATGATAAATATCACTAATTTATAAGAAAAATATACTTGACAGAGCCATTAGACCATAAAAAGCAGTATTAGGTCTCAGGACCACATCATATTTACTTAAATTTAGAGTTTGTCTGATAATCATTTTGTTTTTTGCTTATAGCTCCGTAAGCAAAAGCCCTATCATGATAAATCTTGCGATGTGTTAAGGATGAGTGTATAATACAGCTTGAGTAGTACGGTCTTGTGCTATTAACGCATAAGCAGGTAAAGAGTACATGCACTAAGGAAAATGAAGGAGGAAGGAGAGTGGCGGAAAGATGGCAGGAGAGATGTAGAAAAATATACAAGAAAAGCCACACATAACGAAAATTAAAACCAAACCAAAACTACTTTTACTTGTTTTCATTTTCAAGTTTTTTTTTTCATCTTATATTCCTTATTTCTTTCCCTCTCTTCCATCACCCTTCTTCATCATCCTTTTCCCCATACACCTTTCTCATATGTCAAACACAAAATGTCACATACCGGCCCGGGGTACACCACATCCTGGGCCTACTCCACCACCGTAGCACGATATTGTCCACTTTGGGCTCTGACCACGTCCTCATGGTTTTGTTTCTAGGAACTCACGCGAGAACTTCCCAGTGAGTCACCCCATCATGGGAGTGTTCTCGCGCGAACTCGCTTAACTTGCCAGTGAGCTCCTAAAAGGCCTCGTGCTAGGATATACATATAAGGCATACAAGATCCACTCCCCTGGGCAATGTGGGATGTTACAATCCGCCCCTCTTAGGGGTCCAACATCCTCGTCGGCACACCCGGCCAGGGATTGGCTCTGATACCAAATTGTCACATCCCAACCTAGGGTCCACCACATCCCGAGCCCGCTCTACCATCGTAGCTCGATATTGTCCACTTTGGGCGCTGACCACACCCTCAGGTTTTGCTTCTGGGAACTCACACGAGAACTTCCCAATGGATCACCCATCATGTGAGCGCTCTTGCACGAACTCGCTTAACTTCGGAGTTCTGATGGAACCCGAAGTCAGTGAGCTCCCAAAAGGTCTCGTGCTAGGTAAAGATGAGAATATACATATAAGGCATATAAGATCCACTCCCCTGGACGATGTGTGATCTTACATAAAAAGTGAAAATTAAAAATTAGAAAACGAAATGTTTATTAAACATGTCCTTAGTTTCTACCATATAGACCATTTTCGGTTCTAACAAAAAACGTGGGCTGTGTGCGACTAATCACTTGAGGGATAGGAGTTAGCGCATACGCATCGTTATACGTAATTTGGCCATTATACACATGATATACCTCACTTGAGCAGGCAACATATACACACGCACACGCACATATATACATACATATATATATATATATATATATATATATATATTTGTTCTTCTCTTTCGTATATACTTTCTAATTTTCCATTTTCGGGTTTCAGATAAATTTATGCAAGAAAACATATAAACAAACCAAATTAATGGGGGCTGTATGTGTCATAAAAAATTGGTTGCAATATGTTATGTAATATTCTGGCAAGGAAGTGTGTTCTTCCAAATGAAGATAATCTATCTTCTGCACAATTTTGGAAAACCTAGCTTGCTGGATGCCTAAATACTTCTGGGTCTGAAAGTACTACGTACTTAGGGCATAGTATACAGAGTTTTGTAATTATGTATTGGACCACCCCACTTTTGCTAATATGTACAAACTACAGCCATACACTTTGTGTACGTGTTGGCATTACAACAACAATACCAATGAATAAGTAAAGTTAGGTATATGAATTTTAGAACACTATTACATTCAATTTTGCGCCAAATCGTACGTTAACTCTAAGTACTCAATGTTTTTTCTTAAAATATCTTTCTTAAGTCTTTCTATGTCTTCCTTTACTCTATTTGCTCAGAGTCTCTATCTATATCACATTTTTTAGCCGGATAAGTCTTCGTTTCATCACATGACCAAACTACTTTAACCGATGTTATATCATTTTATCTTTAATTGCGGTTACACCCTTCACTATCTCTCTGCTGATGCATTAACATGATGGCATTTTAATATGGTCCGTAATAAATATGTTGAACAAAATTTACAATTGAGAATCAAACGTGGACTCTCGTTGGATTACTGTGTGCAATTAAGGCACATCTTTTAGCTAAAAATGTACTTATGTGGTCTGATCTATATAATGGACTGCGCTTATTTTGAGTTTATCCAATATAGATTTCCTGAGCTTATTTTATCTTATTTTTCATGGATATATGGATTCACAAAAAGCACATATATGTAATTAATATACGTATATATATTAGGGTTGGATCGGTTGTTCCGGTTAGAAGGTGTAGAGGAAGACCTAGCTAGGAAGACTTGGAAAGAATTTTAAGAAAATATATAAAGTATTTGAAACTAAAAGAAGACTTGCCGCAAAACCGAGCGTGGTGACGTTCTAGGATTTATACAGCCGACCTCACTTAGTAAGATAAGATTTTGTTGTTGTTTTGTAGGTCAATATATGAGATTAATCCATGGACCTTCTTCTTTCTCCAGTAACGTATATATCAGCAAGTACCATGCATGTGACAATCTAAACTTGTAGCAGAAAACATGCATTTTTCCAAGGAATTCGATGACTCAAAGCAGCACAACCACTGAAAATGTGCGTCTTTTCCACACAATTTTGGGAAACCTAGTGGTCCAGCGGCTTGAGGATACATGCATTTCTGCAGCTTAAAGCTAAAACGTCCAAAAACTTATTAATCGATTTCCGCAGCTTTAAGCCCGCAGTACTGATCTCGCCAACAGATTTCAGCATAAAGTTAAAAATTGACTAAAATTGTCTTGTGATAGTAATAAAAAGAATTATATGGTTGTTCATGACAAATCGACTTAATTTTTGGCGACATTCTACAATATTCTCGAGTATTGAATACTCCATCATTTAGAATTAGATTCAACTCAATGGTTATCCAATTTTCTTTAACGGCTATTGATTGAAACTAAATACTAAGTGGTGGGGTATTCAATAGCTAAGGTTTTTTTCTTCTTAATTTGTAGTTATTTAAAGCTTTCAAATCATGAAAACAGTTTCTTTGTAAAGTAAGAGGTAATACTCCGTACGATATACGTTTCTTGCCCGGTCCTCTCAAAATGAGTAATTTTGTTAGCTTGAGATCGCTCTTTTGTAATTGTTTAATGCTAAGTGGTCATTGAAAATCAAGGGATTTCAGATAATCTAGAGGAGGATAGCTTGGTAAATTGGAGAGGGGAATGGCTGGAAAAGTGGTTTTATTAGGCTTGGGAAGCTGCTTTCCAGTACATTAATCCACTTTCTTATTTCTTCCACCCTCTGACAAATCCACATGCTTATGTAGAGAGAGGTCCTGCCCTTCCAGACCCACACACATGGAAGTGGGGAGAAAAATTGAACAAACCACATCTGTGATCTGACCCACCCATTCACATCTCTCCCACCTCTTTCCCACCCCCTCCTTCCTCATCTTATTACCCTAATTCTCTTTTATTAGGGATTTTAAATGTAAATGACTGAGTTGTAGAAGCACTTCTACCATCAATAATATGACACTTGTTCTTTTTCAAAACTTATGATTTTAATTTGTTTTTAATAGAGAAAGACTAACATTGAAGCATTACTTTATTAAAAGGGTTGAGATCCCAATTCTTATGCTTCTTAAATTATAAAGTTCTGAAAACTGTGTCATTTTCTTTAAATAATCCTAGCTGCAACTCTTATTTTAATATGTTTCCAAAATCCAGCCCCTATCAACAAACATAAGTGTAGTCAAATTAGCTAAATCATTGTGTTTTCATGCTAAATACTTAAGTTTGAATTTCGTTCTTTGATCTGAGAGTAATCAAGTTAAAGCAGTATGCGATTATTCTATATACTCAAGTTAGAATTTTCTTCCCCATAATTTAGATTAAATTTATAATATAAAAGGTTAGTCACCTATTCTCATTCTTTGCTAAACTGATATCGAGCACTGCTATATAATAAATACAACCACAAGCCCTCTAATATATATATATGCCTGCCGTCCCTAGAGAGAGCCAAAAGACAAGTTATTCTCTTGTGCTGTGTGAGAAAACCCAAAAGATCAGAAAAAATACAAAGACATCTCTTATTGGGTCTGCAGAACTTATTAATCCTTCTGTTCCGGCGCACTATATTTTTTTGATAGATCGTAGTCCTCCTCCTTACTCCTTACTCCTCCCTAGAAAGGTGGGGCTGCTGCGGGTAACTGTTGAGTGTTGGGTCCCTTCCCGTACGTCTCTTTTGTTCCTTTTGGTTTTGCAGACGGATATTGTCTCCCTTGTTCTGTGAAACCCAAAAAACGAATTTTATTTATTTTTATATATCCATAGGTAAGGGACTTTTTTCTAAGCACTTAGCATGTTTTTTTCTTGTGCATTTTGTTTTTCTCTCGTTCTCTCTTCTCCTTTGTTCTATACAAAAACTTTAGAGAAATCCAAGAAAAAGAAGATTATTAATATATAGAGAGAAAAAACTCAATGCAGATTAACTAGCTAGAAGAAAATATAGTGGCTCGAGCAAAAACTCAAACAAAATCTGTTGTTTTTGGCTAGACAGAAAACTCAGCATTGTTTTTGAAACAATATGGATTTTGGGGTCTTGTAAAATTCTGGAAACCAATTATTTATGAGTAATTTGCTGCCTGGAATTTACAGAAATGGAGGTTTCAAAGGTGTGAGCTGGTGCGTTTGTGAAGCAAGAGGGAAAGGAGGTGGAAGTGAAGATGTCTGCAAAGATTTTGCATTCTCTAACGGATGAGAACCGGGACCTCCATAAGCAAATTGGGTGTATGAGTGGAATTTTTCAGCTCTTTGATCGCCACCATTTCCTCTCCGGCCGGCGTATCAACGTCCAGAACCACAAGAGACTTCATCCAGGTATTTCTTATTTCTACCGTTTGCTTATAAGTGCAGTCAAGCTCAAAGAAGTTTTGGAAAAAGTGCTTTTAGTAAAAAAAAAAAGAAAAAAAGAAACGTTGGTTTTGTAAATGAGGAGAAGGATTCTTATTGATGCGGCTCCATATGATTTACCATTTCCTTTTGCATTTGATTTATATCAGCTCAGAAAACGTAAGAGTGAACTTGAACAAATTTTAAGCAAAAATGTTTTGCAGAATTTAATTAAGCAATAAATATTTAACAGAACCGTCAGCAAATTGTTAATAACATGTTTAATTTTGTTCTTTTTAATATGCGTTTATAGTTTCACAATGCATGGTATGAACTTTCAAATGTATTTATACATTAATATTTATATTTGTATATATTTTTATCCAGGTGAGAATTGCAACCACGCAGTCGAACCAAGCACAGTGCAGAAAGCTACAGTAAGAATTCAGAACTTAATTAATCACATTAGTGGATTGGAAGTTTAATTAGAAGTCTCAATCTTTTGGTTATTAGATTAAACAGAAACATTCATTACATGTATTTTGAAATTGCAGGAAAAAATTCGAAAAAAGGCGGTGAAAGAGAAACAACGAAACTCCACAGAATCATCGAAAACCACTGTTTCTTCTTCTTCTTCTTCATGTTCGTCTAGCCTGTCGTGTCTTGAACATAAAAAGGCAGCTCAGCAAGAACCATCGTCGTCCAGCCAAACCATTTCCAATGACAAAGACGCTCGGGACCCATCCGTGAAACAACCACATGTTTTGATGCACATACGCCGGGAATCCTTTGATCTGCAAGGTCTTGTCAAAGACTCGACGCACAGAGAAGCCCGTGGCATTTCAGTTAAACCTGCAGCTAAAGATGGAGTTGGTCACACATTGAAGTACATAGACTCCCCGAGGCCTTCAATAAAATCCACCAAGCCAAGGGTTTCTGGTGGTAATGAGTCATTTCAAGTTCCTGCAAAGCTTCGGGTAGCAACTTGGAGTTCCAACGAAGAGAAGGATGGTTGCGCGCGCTTCTTACCAAAAGATGCTCGGAGGTTCTCTTATGATGGAAGAGAGTCACGAGATGCATCAAAATCCACCATAAAACTCAAGGAACTCCCAAGGCTTTCTTTGGACAGTAAGGAACGTTCCATAAGGAGGGGTTGTAACCCAGAAACAAAAGGAAACTACTCCATCAAGGATATGCAGAGAGAGGACAGGAACGGCAACAAATTGCTTGACTTGCAGCATGAACCCGGAAGCGCTAAAAGACCGTCTAATGTCGTTGCAAAGTTGATGGGATTGGATCTATCAGATTCTGTGTCTACCACTGATAGTCCATTCAGGCTGGTTAATACCGACCAATCTGACAGATCTGACCCCTTCTCCAGATCATCAAGAGCAACCAATGAAAACAAGCAAGATACTTTTTCTGGGATACTCCTTGCAAATACGAAGAAAGACAGCTCACCGCAGAGGAGAGGCATTGATCCGGTCATGAAGCCCACCTCCAATTCTAAGTTTCCAATAGAAGCAGCTCCGTGGAGGCAGCCACACAGAAGCAAAGGTTCTCAACGATCAGATTTCAAGCAACAAGAAGAACCTATAAAAGCTCCAAATTCATCATCTTCAGTATATGGTGAAATGGAAAAAAGGCTGGCAGATCTTGAGTTCAAAAAATCACGAAAGGATCTCAGAGCTCTTAAGCAAATACTTGAAGCGATGCAGAAGACGAAAGGAATGACAGATACAGGAAAGGATCACGCCTCAAATTTTGCATCTCAAATAAGTAACAAAAGCATTTCTTTGGACAGCACAGTATCAGCAAGCCAGAGATATCTACAAAGTAACATATCAGTTCCTGCCACGGCCAAGGGTTCCCAATCTCCAAAGAGTTATAAATCACCCACTGTCATAGTGAAACCAGCTAAACTCATTGATAAAACCCACAGCTCTGCTTCCATGGTGAATTCCATGAATGACACATTGGGTCTTCGGAAGCTTCGGACCAGTGACCCTGGTGATAACAGAAAGGGATTGGTCGACAAGAAAACAGCCAAAGATCTGACACCAAGGAACAATCACGTCAGAGATCTTTTTAATCGACAACTCCATTCCACTGATGATAATTCTAACACAAGAACTTTGAAATCTGCACAAAAACCAAAGGCATCGCAAACTATGAGTGACGAAAAAGTCACCAGCTCAAGTAGGAGTCCAGGAGTCACGAGCCCGAAAATGCAACAGAGAAGACTTGGATTGGAGAAGCAATCTCCTCCAAGCACTCCATCATCGAATTCAAGCATGACGAGAAGGCAACACACCAGGCAGTCACTAGAAGCGACCACCCCAGGTAGAAAACTTGGGCATAAGACACCCAATTTGCATCAAAGCAATGTGCAACTGAGGGAGACTAGCACCAAGACGAGAGATATGAGTCATCACGACAATTCCACTTCTCAGCAATCTGGAAGCACCATCAGCTTGGCCTCGCATACAGACACAGAGGCCACAAGCATTCATCAATCAGATACGATCACAGGGACGCATTCAACAAGCATAACCAAAAAATAAAGGTAAGGGTGTCCTAGTTCTCATTCATTCCTGTAAGCTATTTTCTTATCTGGGTTGACAGATGTTCTGTTTTCTTTCCCACAGCACCCAGCAGTGGGGTTGATTGATGACAGGTCAATGGCAGAAACTAGGAAAGCTTCCTCCGAACAACCAAGCCCTGTCTCTGTTCTTGATTCCACATTCTATCGCGATGACTCACCATCTCCAGTGAAGAAGATATCAAGTGCCTTCAAAGGTATAGTTCTTGTGCAACTGAGCCCTTACATGTAGTATAGAATGCAAGACGTATATTAAATTTCCTCGAATTTCTTGCTGCAGACGATGAAGCACAAATTCTGGAGATAGCAGAGTATGACCCAATGAACCAAGCTCTGTTATCCAACAACACAATGCCCAGTCTTGGGGCAGAAATTGATCATAAAAGATTAGAGAGCCTGATTCAGAATCATCGATGCATGAGCAGGACACATGAGGACCCCATCACTGGTCCCCTCTGTGACAGTACAAATCCAGACCACATGTACATTTCAGATATATTGCTGGCGTCAGGTATTCTCGGGTACCTTGAATCTGCCTGGACAACCAGTGAGCTGAACACATCAGACCACCTGATCAACCCTAATTTGTTCCTTGCACTGGAAGATATCAGAACAAATACAATGCCTTCTGATCTCCAGCCTAAACCTGATGAGAAAATTCAAAGAAAACAAGTATTTGAGGTTGTTAATGAATTCCTTGTTCACAAACTAGTGGTGGGAGATTCTTTGAAGCAGTGGTTCCCACCAAACAAGCTGGCAGATGGGAAACCAAGAAGCCAGCAGCTTCTGAAAGAATTGTGTTCAGAGGTTGATCAGCTACAGAGAACGAACTTGAATGGCAGCCTGGATGACGAGGATGAAAGTTTGAGAAACATCTTGTTGGAAGATTTCACGGATAAAGCAAAGAACTGGACAGAGTGTGACAGTGAAATTCCTTCTGTAGTGTTGGATGTCGAGCGGTTGATCTTTAAAGCTTTGATAAATGAAATTGTGAGTGATGATTCAGTTGGCCTGCATGGTTGGTCCGGTGGGCATTGCAGGCAACTTTTTTCTGAGAAGGGGCTAAGGAAATATTGATTTCAAAAACTCAAATGGCAGCTTAGATGATGAGGAAGATAGTTCGTGAAGCATCATATCGCCAGATAACACATCAATCAAGGAATTGGGCGGATTGTGACGGTTAAATTCAGGATTTGGTGTCGGATGGTTGATCTCTAACGCTCTGTAACTGAAGTTTTGAATGGTGGAGATGTAGCTGGTTTGCACATGGTCAGTGGTAGGCATTGCAGACTTGCCAAGAAGGGGCAGTTGATAACATTGATCTTTTCCATCAAAAAGAATATTCTTATGTAGTCTTAATCATTTCCTTGGAGTCCTTTACCTCTTTTGTTTTTCTTTTCCAGGTTTTGTTGGATAGAACAGGAGAGGGAGGAATATTTTATTTTAAGGTCATAACTATTGTGTAGTTTTATCTTCTGTAAAGCCACAAATAACTACTGGTAAAAATTTAGTCTCTAGCATGTAAATCTTTGATAGAGGACACAGATCTATAATACAATTATGGTGTATGCATCTTTCCCTTCCAATTTCTCATTCCAGTTACACGCAATTTATTGGACAGGAAAACACATTCAACCTTTCTCTGCTCTATAAATAAGAAACTAAACATCAATTTTGACTCTGTTTCGTTTACACGTTGATAAATCAACAAAGTACACAACAGATTAGCAATAATATAATACTTGTGCACGCATTGAGAGTAGTATCATAAAATAACGAAAACAAAATAATTTCTATTAGAAAGAATCATTAACTGGTGTATCACTGCAACTGACACTAACATACCTTTGAAACTCGTTAAAGTGGGAAAATTCCCTCCAGAATTTTGTAATATCCATTGTACAATGTCCAGATGCAGACAACTATGCGAGCCAGCTTCCACTGCCAGTATCCTAAAACAAGTGTACAAATTCTTGTAAAAAAACAACCTAATTTACAACTCAGCAAGCTCCTCTGGGTTTTCCATGGAATCCTTCAGAATTTTCTCAGCCCTCCTTTTCTTTTCATCCTTCTCAAATTCTCTTTCAAACAAGGAATAGGTTTTCCGAAAACCCTTGTTGTATGGGCTCGAATGAAACGTAGTACTTAAGGACTTCTTTGCAATTCCAACCTTAAATTGCACAATTGGTCTTCTGCTCACAAGAATCTCTTTCTGCCCCTCCTCTGATTCACATGATCCACTCTTCATTGTTTCAATAGCTGGAGCAAGGGTCTCCAGCAGTGAACACTGATTCAGGACATGGTTCTCAGCAACAACATTTCCCGCTGTGGCTTCACTTAAAATTTTAGCTGGAAGAGCAACATGAGATACATCCGTCTCCCCATATTGCAGAGGTGTAGCAAGAAAAGGATTACTTTCTCTTGCTTGTTTTGCCTTATCAGCATCTTCAGACTCAACAGAGGGTCCCTCCGACCCATTGCATAACAGCCTCCGCTGCAAATTGAATAGAGACCGCTCCACATTTCTCTGATGTTTTTCTTGCTCAACCATATCAGTTTGAGGTTCTATAGCTCTCTCATTCAATATGGGTGACTGGGCATATGTATGTGGTTCAGGAAAAGCAGGCAACCAACTAGGTATATGCTCAGCAGGTGTCTCTACGCTGCTTTGCCAAAAACTAGGATTCAGATTTCGGTCCTTAACAACTGGGAATTGAAGAATAGAGTAGGAAAATGGAATATGCTCAGTTTCAGCAACATACTGAGCAATTTCCGTAACCGTCCCTGAACTTGTAAGACAATGATCAACATCTGAAGCACCTAAAAATCCCTGCACCAAGCCCAAATCTTCCAACCCTTGAATGATATCAAAAACATTGCATTCCGTTCTACCAGCTAAATTAGCATATAAATGTGCAGTCTTTCCAATGTTATGAATGTACTGAACAGCAACATCAGAGAGTTTTTCAAGAGCAGACAACTGGAACGTCTGAAACCCCACTATCTCACATACTTGCGCTATTGCAATCTTCGCAATTGCTCGTGCAAAGTCATCACCACTCGATTTTCTCTGTGTTCTATTGTGTTGTTCATGCTCTCTTCGACTCTCCACACCCCCATCGGTCATATTCAACCCCTCATATCAGGCCACCCAATGCAGTATAATCAAAACCAACATTCTTCGTGAAACCCTGCCAAACCCCACCTTATCTACCCGCCAAAAATCATCAATTTATCGATTATCCCTCGGTGTTCTTCCTAAGAAAATGCAAGAAACAAACAACATAAGATAAAAGAACTTCACTGAGCTGGACCTGATACAACGATTTGATTTTTTTTTTTTTCGTTTCGGTTATGAAATCTTTTCTCAGCGAAAGGGAGCTTCCAATCAATGGAACTACTAGCCGTTACAAATTACAAAAACAAAATGCAAAAATATTTATATAAAAAAAAAAATGAATCAAAGCTTAATATTCTGGAGCTTTCTCGAAATTAAAAAAGCAAACCCTAAAACTTCTGACCTGGAATTCAAATCAAACCAATTGAGTTGAAAAAAAGGCGCAAACTACAGAAAGAAAGAAACTTTGAGGAGGAAGCTTACCGGTGAAATCCACGCTTTTACGATCCAACTGAAGCACCGGCGGAGCAGAGGCTGAGCTCAGAGATACGGCGGCGCTCGAACACCGTTCGATCCGAATTGAGTGCGTAAAAGAAAAGAAAAAAAACCGTTTCTTTGAAGAGAGAATTGAAGTTTGGGGTTGGGCTAAAACCCTAGAAAAACCTCTGGATCGAGAAGGTCGTTGAAGCTTGTGTGGGAGTTTGGGAGCTCTCAAGCTTGTCACCACTCGCGAACGAGAAGAAGGGAATCGGGGAGAGGGAGAGAGGGGAGACAGAGAGACAGAGAGGGGGAAAGGAGAGAGAGGTTTTTCCACGACTTGTCGTTTTTAGAGTGAGGACTGATGAACTTTGCGACAAGTAGTATAAATCTTTCTCCCGGTGGCTTAAGGATGCTTGAAACACATTTCGGACAAATTACTTGTTTTTACTTAAAAAAAAATATAATTAAATAAATTTAGGGTAATAATTTTCACACTCATTTTCTCTTACCTCATTTTCTCATTGTTTTTGTTACTTATTCAGTCCAACGACTGAAAATACAGAATAAATAAAGATGAGTGCGAAAATCACTTCAATAAATTCATTTGATCATTTGCCAATTAGAGCTCCAATTGGGGCTTTAATTGTTGATAAAGCCACATGCAATGAGTGCGCGGTTTTTTTTAAGTTGGTTGGATCAAATTCAAAGATCATTGGCCCCCAATTTTAAGTTGTTGAAACAATTGTTAATTATATCAGTTTTGCATAAGTTTTTGGGGTACCTACAAACAGTAAATATCAACGTTTTTGAAGCTGTTGGATTAAGGCATTGAAGTTGATCAACGGTCAATTGTGCAGTACACTCAATGCATGCATGTATCAAGTAGGAACAGTAATTTTGCCTTCAAATTCTCATCAACACTAGGTTCGAAAGATGTGTGAACTATGATCAATCACAGATCAAGACTTGACGACCATGATGAGAGATTGACGGGACTAGATCAGAAGGTATGAGTGATTTTGGATTCACGGTAAGTAGAAGAACAGAAGGAACAGAAAGTACGAGTGATTTTTATTTTTATACTACTGCTTAATTTGCCTGAAATGAATCAGATCGACTTCACTTTCTATGTTTTCGTAACTTCATTTGTCTTGGCCAATCCTCTTTTCTTGATTGTTATGCGCCAACTGCATGGAACAGTGCTACTCCTGTGCCTCCTGTAACAGTACTGATCCATCATATCTATGTAAAACAAATTAAGCAGGGAGGCAACACATAAAGCTTTTGCAGTTCTAACTACTTGTACTGCTCATCAACTCCTGACGAAGGACTTGTTATACTAAATCTGCTTAACAAAATTCATTCACAATCATGTATATCTTTTTACGGTCTCGACAAAAAAAAAAAAAAAAAATCATATTTTTACAGTGAAAATCTACAGTGCACTAGTGAGTACTATACGTTGGGGCATTGAACGACTGGATTTTGACAATTTCAATCTAACTATTCAAACATTGGTGCATCTCATAAACAAGTTGTTGTAGAAATGGAAATGGCTTCTAACCGTTCAAACATCTGTGTATCGATCCAGTACACCAGTGTGATGTAGAAAGGGAAATGACTTCATTTTTCTTCCTTTACACACACTGTTTATTTGTCTCATTGGATTCTCTTTTGTTTATTAATTCAATGTGCACAAGGAGAAATTTGGTGTGTGAAATAACTTCATATGCAGATAGGCTTTTGATAGTTTCTTATGATGTAAACAGCTGGCTTCAAGGACACATGAAATGCCCTAGCTAGAGATATCATATTCTCTTAACACCAGATTCAAATTAACTGCTCTAGTTCAACATATAGGTAATAATTCCAACACCAAACACTCATAACCCTATATAACTAGCAAAATTGTCAATCCAGCACCAGATTTCTTGCAAGTAAATATATATATATATATATATAATTATGTTGTTGGATCTTGTGTATGTGATGTTGACACTAGCTACTGCTCTCGTAATCACACTCTAGGTCGTACAATTAAAGCCTGCAGACTCTCTTCTTTCTTACTTTACCTCCCTCTCGATCAGAAGCCTATTCAACCGGTAATAATATACACTACTACATTTACTCGATCCTGTCATGTTTGCAGTCCTGCCTGATGTCTAGCAGAAATTAAAAGGAAAACAAGCTTAGACATTTCAGGTCGCTCCTTCTACAATCTCTCGATCTCTCTCTCTTTCTCTAGGGTTTTAAATCTTTCTTTACAGGTTTTTTTTTTTTTTTTTGGTAAATAATCTTTGTTTACAGTTGCTAGCTTAGTTAGAGAGAGAACAATTAATGATAGTTTGCAGAGAACAATCTCGCGAAGTTGTATATATCTGAAATAAGGCCATCCCCACGCATACATAAAGAGATAATGCCATGGCGCACAATTCCATTGGCATTTAGTTATACAAAACTAATTTGACTCTAACAACATAGCATACACCGAATCTAACTGACATTCAATCGAATATGAATAATGAACACAATGTAGCTTCACACCATTACCAATGCTCCACTCGAATTTATGCTCGAAAACTCTCGTTCTTATTACTTTAATTTCAAATGCAAATGTCAAATAATATAAACCAAAATAAGTAGGAATCAAATCATATATAGCATCTTTAATCTGAAATGAACATTAATAAGAAGACTGACTTAAACCCCGTAAAGTAAGATGTGTTCTTGTACCTTTGCCTGCGCTCCCTAGCTATACCTAGCTCCCATTTAAGAAATACCAATCTGAGCCATTAAAGCAAGCTTATTAGCCTTTCATGAGTCTTTGAATTAAAAGCATCAGTACGCATCATCGATGCAGAGGCCCCTGATCGTTATTTGGCTGATGACCACTTCCAGTGTTGTTTGAAGAATGCACAAGCTTAGTTACCATACTCAAATGGGGTGCTCTCAGAGTTTGGCTACTAGGGTATAGAGCTGGTGTAGATAGAGAATTGGGCAATAGGTTTTGTGAAGTACTAGTACTACTACTTGAGTTGAGCAATTGCAAATGGTTGAATTGTCTTGGATCTATCTCTCCTGTAGCCGCCGCGTTATGCGAAGGAAAATAAGATTGTGTCGTTGATAAAGACAATGTGGATGGCAACGAGAGGACATTAAGGAAATTGTGGAGATCTGTAGTTTGGGATTGGAATCCATGGCTTCCTAATTGAGATAGTGGAAAACTTGAAGTCTGATGAGGATGATCCCAATTTTGATAATCATAAAGCATATTCGTAGAACTATTCAGGAGACCTGGAAAGAACGGAGGGTTGGTAGTACTACCTCTGGTTAAGAATGTGTTTGATGAATTACCATCAATATTATTGCCTGCTTGTTTTTGATCATCTGATATTCCAAGATTATCTTTCCGTTTTCCTTCCTCCTCCTCATTTCTTGTGTCTCTTGCAATTTCTTTCGACTTTGCTTGCCAAAGAGCATCCAAATTAGTAGGCCAAACATTTGATCTATCTATTCCACTGCTAGGGCCTTCTCCTCTATGATTATGAGATAATTGGGGATGAGCATTGGTTTGATCATCATGAGATGAAGTGAGCACTAATGATGGATGATTTAAACCAAAAGTCCCGGGTGGTGGCATTGGCAGTGGAGGAAGTTCATCGATTTCATGCTTAGCGGCATCAAGCAACCAATCGACAACCTTGCTAGGCTGGTTAAGACCAAGCTTTTCTTGAAGATCATACAATTGGATTGCAGTGGGTACTGATAGCCTCACCCGCCGATCTCGAAGCCCTCTTATGGTGCAAACCTTGCTATGCCTGTCCTTTCCTCCAAAAGCTCGGGACACACGTACAATCCTTGGATCCTTCAACCTTGGCCATGGAGTTGATGAACGAGATAAATTAGGGTTTGATGAGATTTTATTAGCTTGTTCATCACGACTTGCACTGCCAGCTCCTGCTTCTTTTAAATCTGCTTCACTAACGAGACTCTTAATCATCTTCTGGACTCTCTCGTCATTGGTTCATCATTTCAGCTCAACACGCAGATTTCTATTCTCTTTGCAATGATAACTTCACGAATTAATCATGATATGCTTCTCTTCTTCATGTGCTTTCTTTTTTTATCATAATCTGGTACACCATCAATCATGAAAGAAATGAATTATAAAAAAAATAAAAATGATCAAAAAGTGTTTCCTACTAATTAAGCTAGCTAATATCTATGACATATATGTGATGATCCACAAAATTAAAAACGAAACTATATACAACTTTCATGAATTGTTTCATGAACGAAATTAAAAAGGAGCTCAAAAGAAGAAGCGATTCACAAGCTGTAGAAATGTTTAGTTAAGAAATTCCAAGTTCACTTGTCTCGCGTATATATATTAATGGAATTAAAGCAAAGCAACAAATATAAAGCTAGGTATGCGATGCTAATTATTTTATAATTATGAAGTATTCTAGGGTTACCCAACCAACATATTACTTGAAATTGACCCAACTTACATGAAAGTAAACATTTTCTGCTTCTTGTTTTGCAGACAGTTTTCGGTGCTTGGTGAGTTGAATACACAGTATTACACAGAATGGCAAAGAAAGGTATGTGGCTTGTGATTTCTCAACTTGAAATTGGCTTTGTGAGTTTAGTAGAGAACTACTAAAATCAACCAAACAGCCGTCTGTACTTTTGAAGATTAAATTATTCTGCAAGTATGTGGAGAATATGAGAATAAAACTTGTTGAAGAAGAAGTAGAGAGAACCGTTTGAGAGGAAAAGTAAGGCGCCGGAATTCCACCGACCATGCCCAAGGAAAGATAAAGCAGTGGTACATACAATGCCACGTGGCACTCTCACCATCAACTCAAACGAATGTGGGTGTAGCTATGGTAGCTAGTCGATATCTCATCATTTCCTCATCACGCATGCATAAGGTTAAATAATCATTAATTGTGACAAAATAGGAGTTAATTAACTATGATTTAGGAGTTAACTGAAGATGAATTTCAGACTTTTATTTCACACGGTGTGTTCTAAGTATGATACTTTATGATATTAAATCACATGATGATAACTATGAGAAGGCTGAATGTCTTTATAAGTCTTCCTGACCTTCGAAAAAAGTGGGTTGTTGTCAGTGTCGTAGCCATGATTTTGAAAAATGGGGTCATTATATCAACCAAAAAAACTTCGTTAGCCATTCATCGAGCACTTACGAAGCACTGCCAATTCCTGTCAACATATGTCGAAAGTTTATGCTAACGTATATCACATCTACTATTATTAGTAAATGCTTGTCTAGGGTTGATGCATGATACTGTGGAGTAATGTTGAAGATTGCCTAGTCTTTTCAACTAAGGTATTTAATCGAGCACATGATCGCACACAAGAAGAGAGAAAAACTAAAGAATTTCATCGAGCACATGATTGCACAATAGAGTCGCACACATGAAGTAGGAGGGGGAGATTGTAATTTAGTTTGCCTTAGGTGTTTATAAGGGTCAAATATAATACACAAACAAATATACATGGAGTTTTCAAAATTGTTGGGGTCAAGGACAACTAATGACCCTATGCTAGCTCTGCCACTGATTTCGTGATGAAGCCACCAACTGATCTCTCTTTTTTTTTAAAGAAGAAAACAAGGATTTTTTTTTTTTTATCAAAAGAAAACTAGGATTTAAGAGGGCTATTAAACTTAAAATCTCTACCTAGCTGCTCAAATCACATTATATATGATACGCCTTGTAGGCAACATAATTGATTTATACTTGGTGATAAGTTGAAGCTGCTAATAATTATGTATATGCATGAAATACAAAAGTAGGAAATTTCACTTGGGGGACCACATGGATGCATGTTGCACATTCGAAAGTGGTGAGTGTTGCTTTATCGACAATTAACGAAAGATTTTAGATATATCACTTTCATATGCACGCCTAAAGTACCAAAAAAGATGAACATGTTCATGCGGACAAAGTCGCTGAAGTTTTCCTCCCATATCCTAATACTCAAGATGGGTGGTAATGATTCGATGGCCGGCATATATATGTTGTGTTGTGTGAGTACACTTCAAATATATGAATCCAATTAACCAATCATTGGAATTGACATGCCTAACAAAATATATTTCTCACAGTTTACTCTCTAATTGCATCACGCAGTTGAACTATCCCCTCTTTGTTTTTATGCCTCTCTTTTAATGTATTTTTCTTTTTTCTTATTCTGTACATGAAGAGTAAAGTTTATGTCCTCAATCATCTATCTAGGTGGAATGCTTTTTCTAATTCAATAAAATATCAAGGTTTCTTGAAAAAGAAAAGCATCACACGCTTGAACTATAGGGAGGACAAAGAGAAGAAAATAGATAGACAAGTGACGTGGTGTAATATGTAAAGGAAAATCAAGCAACTCCTTGTAACATAATATGAAAAACAAAGATGGTAAAATTCCAGAAAATATCCTCAAATTTAAAATCTTTTAAACCTAATGACAGAATTTGACGCAAAATAATCATGTGTTACGGAGAAAATGTGAGTTTGGCTCATCTCGCTCTTTTTATTTTATTCAAGAAACCAAATCTGAAAATAGTTTTTGCTGTTAGTGAACTGGCCTATCAAGCTGCTCCTCAATCATTAGCCAACTGTTCTATGTCAACAAGCAGATTACATATGAAGATTAAGTTTGGATTAGAAAGATGTATATATCCACATGTATCATGGGCTACAAAAATTTGTGGTATATATACTCTGAGCATTAGCATGTGTGTGATAGTACTTCGGACAATGAGAGGTTACCTAATAGTTGAGGGACCAATACATGCATGCATTTTCTTTTGAAAGACCGAATAGTGAGTTCGAATAGGACCACACGACTTTTTATTGCAGAGAGATATGCACGAAGTAATTTAAGACTTGCTGACCTAGCAGCTGACAACCTAGCTAACCAGCCGTAACGAAATTGCGTTGCTCTTTTCAACAAAACGAAGTTATTAAGCCATTGGAAGTAATAATACCCCAAAAAAAATAAAATAAAAAATAAAAAAAAAGGCCATTGGAAATAATGATCTTCTCGATGAACTATAGAGACGTATGCAGGTTCTTTCTCAATTGTAAATTTTTAGTCCTTAAACGTCAAATATTAGTGCTTGAACCTCCAGAATGATTAGGTCTTTTCTGTTTGAAGAGGTAATCGTGATCGTAAAACTCCAAAACCCTAATTGCAATATGGCACCGGATCCAAAAAACCCTAATTTTAATTATCCCAGAAGTTAACTGAGAACACTAACAAGAAACTTCAAAAACCCCCTAAACTTTGAAATCCCTAATTACCTACTTCAGAATTCTCAGCGGAAGAGTATTCTGTTGGTATTCAGTTAGAGCTGCACTGCATACATAGTTATTTCACATATGACATATACAGGGAGCGAGTAACACTGCAGCCTGCGTATGTGTTTGAGAGTGGAGAAAATTAAACAGAGAGAGGCCCTTCACTGCTTCTTTTGCAGGGGGAAGAAAGAGACAGGACAGAAAGACCTTTAGGGTTTTCGTCTCTGTGTGCAAAGAGCTCTAAAACAAGCAGTACTGGCGGGCATCTCAAGATCGGGCACAGTACGTACAGAGCTATATGTTCATAAACTGACCATGAAGGGCGTTGGCCCCAATAAATGGTCCCTGGATTCCAGACACAAACCTTCTGCCACCTCTTGAGTCATCACGCTCAACCTTCTGAATCTACCCGCAATATGTTATTCGTTCCAATTTTTTTTTTCCCCGACCAGCATGTCTCTTGAACGTTTTGAATGTTAATCTAGAAGAAAAGATTGATAAGTTATTAAGTATATTCTACCACTATTTGCAGTGAAGTTCACTCTTTTTTCTTGATATTAAACCATTTTAATTTTTTTAAGGCCAATGCTAAGAACCCAAATTTGTCAGTATGTTTATTAATCCGGACTTATTCAAATCTTAAAAAAAAAAAAAGTTAACCTAATTAAAAAAATGAAGTTTTAATGAAACACTCTAGGTATTGTTCACTTTTAACGAAAAATCTCATTTTTATCTTTTTCTGGTACTATTCATTACACCTTTATTTGTCATTTTTCAGTAAACTAAAAAAAACATTTTAACTTTTCGTTAGTTTTCCTATTAAAAAAGCCGCAGAAACCAGCCATCGCCGACCATCACATGTCGCTGGCCTAGACAAGGGTGGAGCCGTAAATTTTTTTATGGATGGATTAGCTAAAAAATTACCCTAAAATTAAATGATATTTTTTTGCTAAATACGTATTGTAAGCAAAAGTTTAAGTCTTACTTTTGTATTTTGCATAATTTAAAATTTACTTAGCCTGAACTCAATAGTTTTGCAATTGCAAATTGCAAAAATTACAATAAATCATCCAAATTCACATATATTATGATGTAAACACAAGAAGATGGAAACTTGATATATGAAATATCTCAATTACAACCACACAACTAGCACAAAACCAAACAATAAAAGTAGAAGTAACAAAAAAATATTGATTGATACGGCCCACTGAATCTCTTAACAGCAGAGATGGATTCCATAGAAATCAAGAAATGTACTGAAGAAGGAAGCTTGAAGGAGAAGTCAAAAGACTCTCTCAATATATTTCACTCACTGTCTTTTGATATTACAACCACACACAAATATAAAAGAAGGAAAAGCTATTTATACTATCTTATCTAGTAAGCCATAAATGCACATGTTTTTCATGTGTAGTGATAATGACTTAGCCTATATACTTATCCAATACCCCCCCTCAATCTTTGCTGGGGTACCCAAGCTTAAGATTGAAACAATGACGTAGAAAATCTGGTCCATGTAATCCCTTGGTCAACACATCAGCAATCTGATCCTTAGTACACAGATACTCCACTGACAAATCTCCCTTTTGAACCCATTCACGGACGAAATGAAAATCAGTCTTTAAGTATTTGATCCGAGAGTGTTGAACTGGATTTAAACTCAATGCTATAGCTGATTGATTATCACAATAGAGCACTGGAGAAGAAGGCACAAATACGTGTAAATCCTTGAGGATAAGCCGAATCCAAGCAATATCGGCAGTGGTATGTGCGAGAGCACGATATTCGGCCTCCGTTGAACTTCGGGAAATAGATGACTGCTTCTTAGATTGCCAGGAAACAGGATTCTGCCCAAGATAAACAACATACCCAGTGATAGATATGCGAGTGTTCAAATCAGCTGTCCAATCGGAATCACTATAGGCAGTGACTGTAAGTGGACCTCCAGAAATATATGTTAAGCCACATTGAAGAGTACCTTGGAGGAATCGGAGTATTCGTTTAACCATAGCAAGATGAATGTCAGTGGGAGCATTCATATATTGACACACAGTATTCACAGCAAATGCAATATCAGGACGGGTAAAGGTGAGGTATTGTAAGGCACCAACCAAGCTCCGATATAATGTGGGATCTGATAATAAGATACCTTCAGTGGACAAAACCTGATTATGAGGCTTGCAGGGTGTGGAACATGGTTTACAGTCATCCATGCCAGCCTTGTGAATCAAATCTTTAGTGTATTTAGCTTGATTAATAAACAGATCCCCATTAGAGTTATATGTAATCTGAAGCCCGAGGAAATAAGCCAAGCGTCCCATATCCTTAAGATCAAATACTGCATTAAGAGTTGTGATCACAGACTGAATCTGTTGAGAATTAGAACCTGTAATGATAATATCGTCGACGTAGAAGAGTAGAATAACAACATCAGCTCCATCAGTTCGAACAAATAAACTAGAATCTGACATAGAGGCTTCAAAACCAATTGCTTGCAGATAACTAGTAATTTTATCATTCCAAGCTCGTGGAGCTTGCTTTAAGCCATAAAAAAACTTAACCAATTTGCAGACATGTGTAGGAAATTGAGGATGAACAAAGCCACTTGCTTCCAATCACATTCTTATCACAAGAATTAGGAACAAGAGTCCATGTGCCTTGAGATTGAAGAGCATCAAACTCTTCTTGCATGGCCAACTGCCATTGAGGGATATGAGAGGCTTGTTTGAAACCGGAGGGTTCGGAAACATCCAAAATATCAGCAATAAATGTGAAACCCCCTGAAAAATGAGCATTATCTGCAAAAGTTAAGGATGCCACTTCAGGAAATAGAGCAGTCAAAGCAGAATAGTCCTTTCTGGTAATTGCACCTGTTCTCAATCTGGTTTGAATACCGTGGGATAGAGACACATTCTCTGTGATAAGAGAATTAGGTGAGGGAAGAGCAGGTAACTCCACGTGGGATTGTTGTGGTTGAAGGACAGGCAACAGAGAAGGAGGACTGGAAAGAGTAGCAGGTGATACAGAGTCCTGTGCATTTTCCAAAGAACCTGAAGAAATAGATCGGAGATGCCGGGAGGTAGAACTGAGAGGTTGTGACGTTGAAACAGTCTGGAAATCTTGATTATGATCAGCAGTAACAACCTGTTCCATTGGAACTGATAACTGAACAAGAATAGGTTTCACATGCCCATTTGAACCAGAAGAAGTAGTAGTCCCAGCAGCTATATTGACATCATTCTTGTAAGGAAACACAGTCTCATCATGATAAACATGGCGAGAAATGAGAACTTTCCCAATTGACAAATTATAGCAAAAAGCACCTTTATAACCTTGTGGATATCCCAAGAAAACACACTGAGTGGATCTGGATTGCAGTTTAGTAGTATTATATGGTCTGAGGTAAGGATAGATTGCAGAACCAAAGACCTTCAAATTAACTAGATCAGGTTGCTTGCCAAACAACTTTTCAAATGGGGAATCCATATGAAGAGGCTTGCAAGGCTTCCTATTAATCAGAAATGCAGCATGTGTTACGGCATAAGACCAAAACTTATGAGGTAACTTAGCAACAGATAACAATGTAATTGCTGTCTCAATCAGGTGTCTATGCTTCCTCTCAGCTAGACCATTCTGCTGAGGTGTGTATGGACATGAAATCTGATGTAAAATACCATGTGTGGCCAAATATTCCTTAAATGCATTGTTGAGAAACTCTCCACCACCATCAGATTGGAACAGTTTAATTCTAGACTGAAATTGGTTCTCAACATAAGCACAAAATTTGACAAATGAACTGAAAACCTCTGATTTATTCATTATAGGAAAAATCCATACAAATCTAGTAGCTTCATCTATAAACGAAAAATAATAGCGAAACCCCTCAACTGAAGCAACTGGAGAAGGCCCCTATACATCACTATGAATCTTATGAAAAGGTATGTCTACTGTATCAACCCTATCAGAAAAAGGAAGTCTACTCATGTTTCCCGTAAGACAATGGGAGCAAATTGTACTAATTGTATCAGAAGAACAAACTATATTGGAGTTCCTAAGCATAGTTGCTAAGATTGCATTTGAAGGGTGACCACATCTCTGATGCCACAAGGAAGATTACACTGTATGTCCCAAATAAGCAGAAGAAATTGCACCTTTATTCAACAGTGTTGGAAAAATATGCACAGGTACTCTGAACAATTCATTAGTGCTACTCTTGCCGTGGTGGAGGATTGCCTCTGTGACATCCCGTCCCGAAATTATCCAAAACGTACGTGTGAATTGTCAACTTTGCCCCTAGTTCGTCTCTTTTACGTTATTGGTTGTTTTGTGTGGTGTGGCATGTGTTGGGCCACACACACACACACTGTCACCTCCCTCACCCTCTGTCTTTTTCCCTGTCTTCCTCCCGAGAACCCCATTCCTTATTCTTCCTTCTGAATACGTATGGGCAAACCCAAAACCCCTCAAACCTTAGCAGATCGAGGAAACCAAGGTCACAGTCGAGATCGTGAAGCTCGTGGGAGTCTAGTCGTACCATTTTCAAGTGAGAAATCCGTCATTTTCACGTCGATTCAACAATGGCAGTTTTGAGTACTATTCATGCAAAATTTATTTAGCACGTTTTTGGGATTTTGAAGCTCGTAGGTAGCTTGGTGGTGTCCCAAGGAGCCTCGGAGTACTTCGTTTAACGGAAGTGGACGTCGGGATCGTCCTGTTCGAAGTTGGCCGGATTTGGAGTTTGGTGACAGGTGAGATTTCGTAGGTTTTAGCCTTTAAATTTGGTATGGTTGTGTTCTCCTAGTTCTAGGCGTCATTTTGGTTCAAGAATCGTGAAAAATGGTTGAGAAACGAGTGAGAAAACGTAGGTTGCAGGTTTTACAATTTTCCGGCGCCGGCGACGGCGCCGGAGGTTAGCCAGGGAAGGAGACGGAATATTCCTGACGCCGTTGACGGAATCCGTTAGAACTAACGGAATATTCCTCACGGCGTCAGTTGACGCCGTCCGTGTGCACCGCACGTGCGGCGGTGGAAAATTTTTCTAAAAATATGGGTGTGTTCCTGAGGTTGTGTAGAGCACGTTGGTATATTCAATTGTCCATTTTGAGCAATGTATGAGAAGTTATTACGAAAGGAAGGTTATGTGCTTTATAATTAATGTTTTTATAGTATTTTCGCATATAGGTGATACGTATCCCGAGGACGAGCGTGCTCACTCGAGGCAGGGGGGCAACGACCCTTCCACATACCAGTGAGTGGGCTTTTGTTTTCCGTATATACCTATATACTTATAATTCCCAGAAATTATATAAATGTTTATTAGTTTATGCCATTCCTTTATTATTATTGGTTGTTATGCATGGTTACTTGCACATATGGTTCTTATATATATACTCATTTATATGTTCATATATATATTGGTGCTGTGGAGGCACAGGTAAGTGCTAGGTAAGCGTTGTTTAACATTTGCATTAAATAATGATTAGAGGTGCTTAGAGAGCTCATAACCTGCACCCCCGGTGTTAGTGCTCCCGCCCAGAGTAGGGCACAGTCCTTCACGTGTCGTTCACCTCCCGCACCACACGCTCAGCTTGGATCCAAGTTAGGTGCACAGTCCTGTCGTACAGACCACTTTAGGTGGTTCCGACTCGTAGGTGACCCGCGATTATTCGCACAGCCTTCACGTGATCGTAGCACTAGAGCGTTTATATGTATTACACCCAGGCTTATCGTACAGACCACTATAGGTGGTTCCGACTCGTGGGCAGGTTTAGTTATTGAGATTGAGATTTGAGCTCTAGATTCAGCCGTACAGGTCACTTTAGGTGACTCTGGCTGCCAGATTATATGCTATTGATGTGATTGATACCTGAGCACTTGCATTTCATTATGAGGCTTTGACATGGCATATTCTTGAGCATGATTGGCATATTTATACATACGTATATATGTTTATTTTATGGGAAGTATACAGGTTTTACAGCGAGGGGTTAGAATGTATTTTACTAAATGGTTTTCAAAGAGCTTTGTTTTGCCCACTCACGCTTTTGTTTTGCGCCCCTCCAGGTTTTAGTTGCTTAGCAAGTTCGGTGGTTTTCCCAGAGGGCGTCCCGGCATTTCTGACAGACACTCACCAATGTAGGATCACCTTCGGGTGCACTGTTGTCGTATCATTTTCTTTGGACTGATGTAGACTTATTGCTCTGAACTTAGCGTCTTACTTACGCTAGTACACTTACTTTGACCTTATGTATGCTAGTTTTTAATTATTCGTACTTCATATTACTATTCTATTAGCTTCCGCACTGTGCACATGGCTACGTCACTTCCACGTGACGGCCAGCATGTCCTGATCTCGGTCGGGGTGTGTCAGCCCCTGTTGCCTTGTCCTGTACAAAAAATCGAATGTCATCGCATATGAACCAACTATGATTGTCTTTGCATAGTTTCTTAACAGATAAAAGATTAACATTTAACTATGATTGGCACCAGTAAAATGATCAAAGAAATCATAGCCACGAAGAACTGAGCCAAATTGGTAACTCCATTTAATGAAATTATCATCATTCAGTTTAATAGTGAGCATACCCAGCAAACTTTCAATCCTCACTTGATTTGCCATATTATGAAAACAGAGAGAAGTAATCAAAACTGTGTCGGTATGAAAATACCCAGAAAAACCCAGCTGCAAATTGAGTCGGTGGATAACTCCATATGAAAAAGAATTGCAGATCTGATTTCCAACTACCAAGAACAATCACTATATACTCACAGAAAAACAAGAATCACATATATACTTCAACAATGGCAATCGGCCTTGAATCACTCCAATTACTTCAAGAAACTAAAATTCGCAACAAATTTGGCATCGGCCTTTCATCAAATCAACATACAACTCTTCGATTAACCAGAAAACTACGGCATCAGCCTTCAATCAACTCAAATCACTTCAATTCAAACTAAATTTCAGAAAAAGAACACTAAATTCTTTAGGGTTTTTAACCAGTCGAAGCAATATCATCTTCTTACCAGTCGAAGCAGCGGAAACAATGAACCAGTACCATTGCGCAAGCAAGCACGGCTCTGATACCATCTTAACAGCAGAGATGGATTCCATAGAAATCAAGAAATGTACTGAAGAAGGAAGCTTGAAGGAGAAGTCAAAAGACTCTCTCAATATATTTCAGTCACTGTTTTTTGATATTACAACCACACACAAATATAAAAGAAGGAAAAGCTATTTATACTATCTTATCTAGTAAGCCATATATGCACATGTTTTTCACGTGTAGTGATAATGACTTAGCCTATATACTTATCCAATAGAATCAAAGCAGAATAATCTTGAACAAAATGACATCATAATTTCCATGGCAACTTTATATTTTAATTATGCTAAATACTCACTGAGCTAGTTTCATTAAAAAATAATTCTTCTTGCATTTTTTTGTTTTGTTTATTATATTAGGCTGTACACAAAGTACATGCACATTGCTACAAACTCTCCCTGGTTTAAAGCCCACCGTAACCTTGGTGTGGCTCCGCCAGTGGGCCTAGATCGCAGACAACTGATCCTAAATATATGAGTATGACATTTTTTGGGCTATATCAATTCTAATAAAGTCTACATTATTACAAACGTGAGAAAATATCTTTTAGTCTCGATGCTTTGAAAACTGAGATTCTTATTTAACACCATGGATGAACTAATATATATCAATTTTGAATTATTAATCGATTTTTTTTTTTTTTAAATCCTATTGCGAGTACTAGAAATATAAGAACTTATTATCGGGTGGTGTGATGGCACGGCATTGTGACAGGAGGTCGCAAGACATAAAAGTTTGGGTTAGTGTTGGTCTCAAAATCCGTCTCGGACCAATCCGTCTCGGCCGCACAACCGAGAATTTCGGGATCTCTTGGTCTTTTTAGTTCGTGTTGCTGGCGTGCCAACTCGTAGCCTAAGGCCAAGGGAATAAAAAAGAATAAACGTTGGTGATTTTAGTTGCGCTTGATTAGACTTCTTTCAATGCTATTGACGACCAAGGAAGGAACATGTCTCGATCAAGCATTCTTCGCACCTTGGGTGCAAGGTCTTTGAATAAGCGTTATTCGTGAAAGTAGAGTGGTATGAATTTAATTAGTGATTGATGTGGTGAGATGAGATGTATGGAAGGGCGAATCACATCAACCCAAACAAACTAGTCGAATGGATCAAATTGATAAGTAACCAAATTACAATACTCCTATTGCAATAAAATAAAATCAAGAAAGTAAATTTGCGATGAAATAAGTTTGAGAGAAAATTAAAATTACTCTATAAATTGGAGAAAAAACAAACGAGAAATAAAGATAAAAGCACTCAAGGTGTACATAAAATAAAAAATGAGTTTTGTGTTTGGTCGGGGACCTCTAACAATGACCTAAAAAGTCCCCTTTATACTAATTGAGAGCATCCATTCTTGATGTCTTCCCCTTGGTTGCCTCTTGAGCCTTGAAAATTCTTAATCAAGTTCCTCATTGAATGTCATGGTTGACTCACTTCAAGATGAAGATCATGCCAAATACGGCTCCAAACAGTTAGGATTAGATCCAGGCTTGAGTGGATTAACTTGTCGTTTGGAAGGTCTCATTTTCAATGGGCTGTTGCCAAATGGCTTTGATCACATGACAACACCAAACCGGAATGGTCTATAGACAAATGAATCTCCATGCACAGAAAAAACGAAAAAACAAGAAGCTGAAGTTATTAATTTCTACAGTAAAATTCACTAGATCATATGATCAATTTCTTTTCTGGTGCTATACGGGTATGGGGCGGTTTGTGTTGAAGAGATCAAACCAAAATTCTTTTCTGGGTAAATATTAATTTTTTTTTATGATACCATTAGAAACAAAGTTGAGCTAGCTAGTTATTCCTCAACCATTAGATATAAGAATTTCATAAACAACAACTATTTGATGAAATTTAATTAAAATTAGAATATGTGAACCAATTGGAAATATGAAAATTAGTCCAAATTCTTTAAACACATGAATTGTCGCTTAATTCGTCAAAGTGAGATTCACACTCTAAGCACTCACTTCACGAGCGGGGTCATTTAAGGCTTTAAGCATAACATATAAACAATACGTCTTAAATGATGAGATAAACTGTGAGATAATTATTACAATCAACACGTATGTTAAATTGGTGTGATACTATGAAGAAAGTTGAAGTTGTAGGCAATATTATTTTTCTTAATATATTAATTTTTAAAGGCGAGTTTGAACCACATTATTGGTAGCCCACCCCCTCCCCTTAGTGTACATAATATCGTTTGTTCAAAAAAAATATATATTAATTTTCTCATGTTTTATGTAGCGTAATTAAGAAGATAATTGCACTTCAAAAAAATTTGTTGACAAAAGCTTAAATTTGCCTTATTTTTAGAGAATTGTTATTGTCTTACGAGGAGTGCACAATTAGATTTATGAAGTGACAATAATAGTTCCTTATATCTATTATACTACAAGTTTTAGATTTATGAAGTGACAATAATAGTTCCTTAATTCATGACTTCGTATCAATGAATTACAAATTTCTTAATTTCGGTTAGTTTCTCCTTTATTTGCTCATGCGAACGTCGCGAGCCCCATATAATATTTGACACGTAGATAAATTTAAAAATAAAAAAATAAAAAAGGACATTCTTTATTAAAGAAAATCATGTTAAACAATTTAATTAATTAATTAAAAACACTTTAATAAGAAAGAACGCCGCTACGGCCACCAAAGTAACCAAAGCTCTCCTTCTTGTTACCGATCAAGGGCGTGCCATTAGGGCCGGTGAAGTTGACGGCTTTGACATTTCCGTCCTTGCCAAATTAGATGAGTAACTGTAAAGTTGCAATTAGCATTCGGATATAACCAGCTGCATTTAAAAAAGTTTTGAATAAAAGTAATAACATCCAAACCAACAATATTCCAACATAACTAATAGGAAGAACCAGAAAAGCTGTCAGGTTTCATAGCACTAGAAGAATCGATAAAGAAACATCAATTCTAATTTCATCAGCTGAAGGTAAATAAGAAAGAGAAATTGTTTTTTCCTTCACTAACCATAGGTGGAATTACACCACAACATCTTTAACTCCACTCATACTGAGAGAGAAATTATATAATAACAGATAAAAGTTCATCTAAAGCGCTTTCAATTTTTTAAAAACAATTTCAAACAAGTACAATAACTTTTAGGCAGTTGGTTAGATAAAAGCAAAAATTTAGCTAGTAGTGTTGGAGATGCTCTTAGGATATCAACCTTGCCATAAATATTTTTTATTGAAACTTCATGATTTTTTCAAGAGTAATGTGCTTTACACACTCATTTTTACTTCTCACATACCTCTCAAATTGCGGTTGTCGAATTGAATAAATTGAAAAAGATTAATAACAAAAAATTAATTTTGACAAAAAAAATAACAAAAAATTAATTAGGTTGTGTAAGAGGTAAAATGAATGAGTAAATAACACTATTTTTTTTTTTTTTCATTTTATGATTGAACTCGTTTGACTTTTGTACACCTCACCATTTTAGCATTAATGCGTTTACATATCAAGTATTTTTTTTTTAAATCAAAAAATTGGATTTGAGCATACGTTAGTTTGAATATGGCCTAATTTTTGGGATTTTATTCTCATAAACATTTCTACTCACGCGGGTATTCCTAGTAGTTTCGTTTGAAAAAAGTTGCGTGCCTGGTTTGGCATCTCTTTGGTCTGCTGCCACGAAAAATGGAGTATGATTATCTTTTCTTCTATTCACATTCTTTGTCATTTTTTTTAAAAATAAATTTGATCACAAAGTCTGTCTCATTGCATTATTATTATAGGAAGAGAATTCACATTCTTTGTCATTCCCTTCTCTGACACTTGATTTTTTGTTTTATTTTTTCATAAAAAAAATTAATATAAAATATTGACGTGACTTAATTAGTTAATTATAACCATTCAAGTAAGAGAGAAAAAAAAAAGACTAGAGAGAAATTAGGAGGGACGATCCTCCTCCATAAAGAACAATGAACTCATAACGAAAACATTTACCACATTAGAAACAACACCAATAAAGGAGTTAAAAAACAGGAGGCAGATTGTCTGCCCTTCTCTTTGGATGCTCTTCCCATTCCTTTTTATTTTGTACGGTCAAGGTTAAGTCACGTCAACATTTTATATTGATTATATTATAGAGATAATAAAACAAAAAACAATAAGAATATAAAATATTAATATGACTTAACCGTGACAGTACAAATAGAAGAAGATAAAAAGAGTACCCGAATAGGAGGGCAATCTGCCTCCTCCTAAAAAACAACATAAATAGATCAACACAGAAATAACATGCATGTAATATCACTGTCACATCGACATATATGGCTATACTAGGCGATGTGCATGTGATACTAGCTTCTAACATCTACCACCCCAAAATATTATCGCAGATCGATGCATCCTTCTGATCTCTAGAAACTAGTGGTTGCGGCACAGTTTCTAAATCTTTTATTTATTTCCTCGAGAGCCTCTAAAACTCTTATCAGCTACATCTTATCATTTCAGTTAAACGACACAAGTCGCCACCCTAAAAACTGATCACAATTTGCCGAGGTTTGCACACCCTAAACTCTTCTCCGATGGCACACCGAAACTCTGTGAAAGTTGTTGAGGTTTGCAAGGTTGCTCCACAACCACGCTCACTAGCTGACTCAGTCACACCACCACCACCACCTGAGTCCCTTCCTCTAACCTTCTTTGACTTGCTCTGGCTAAGATTTTCACCCGTCCAACGCCATTTCTTCTATGAAATCAACCATAATTCTTCCAACACTTACTTCTCCGATTCAGTACTAATCCCAAAACTCAGAGCCTCACTCTCTATCGCCCTCCGACACTTTCTACCTCTAGCCGGAAACGTCATATGGCCCCAAAGCTTCCCTAAACCTATTCTTAGTTATGTCCAAGGCGACACCGTTTCGCTCACGATAGCTGAGTCTGATGCTGATTTCTGCCATCTAGTTTCAACCAACAACTTCAACATCAAAGCCGAAGAATACCACCCTCTTACACCCCCATCTTGCCGTGTCTCACGAACGAGCCGCCGCCGTGGCATTCCAAGTCACCATATTTCCTAACCGTGGCTTTTGTATTGGAACATCTATGCACCATGCAATCCTAGACGGCTTGACTTCAACCATGTTTGTAAAATCATGGGCTCACATATGCAAACACGAAAATTCCAATTTGATACCTGACCAGCTCAAACCATTATACGACAGAAGCGTCGTCCAAGACACAGCCGGGCTCGAACCAATTTTCTTGAACCAATTGCTAAACATGGATTCAGACCGGCCCTTCAATAGATGCTTAATGTTCGTCGATCATTTTAAAGCTCCAGCAGAAGACACAATTCGAGGAACGTTTGTATTCACTCGGGAAAAAATAGAAGCACTAAGGCAATCGGTGAAAGAGAAGAGACAACAACATGGTCATCAATCCGTTCAAAAATTGTCTACGTTTTGTGTCACATGTGCGTATGTATGGATTTGCTCAATCAAGGCAAAAGAAATACAAATCGATCATAAAGCTGCAGTTCTGATGGGCTTTACTGTGGACTGTAGGTCGCGTTTAGACCCTTCTATACCCGCCACTTATTTTGGCAACTGCTTATCATGCAGCGTAGCAGTTGCCGAAACGAAAGTGGTTTTAGGAGAAGATGGTCTGATTGTGGCAGTCAATGCAATTAGTGAAGCTATAAAACGTTCGGACACGGACGGAGTTTTGGGTGGATTAGAGAATTTGCTTCCTTTACTGTACTCAACGAGTATAGATCATGAGAGTTTACTCTCTATTGCTGGATCGCCTCGATTTGGAATTTATGGGACTGACTTTGGATGGGGAAGACCAAAGAAGGTAGAGGTCGTTTCTATAGAGAAGACTGGAGCGATGTCTCTCACAGAATCCAAGTATGGTGGTGGAGGCGTTGAGGTTGGGCTGGTTTTGAAAAAACATCATATGGAAGCCTTTTATAATCTGTTTGCTAAAGGTCTTGCAAACATCTGAAGCTATGTTATTGTCATTGCCTTATGTAATAAGGTATGCAACTTCTAAAATCATAGTTGTTACATTGTTTTAGTATGTGTCCCGTTCAGGCTAGCTACTGTTGAAAAGTTTAATTTTAACCGAAATAGTGTCATTTGGAGAATTTTTAAGGTATTTCGGATTATAAATACTGTATTTCGGATTATAAATATTGTAGTTACTTTTACCACAGTGATAAAAATGTGTTGAGTCCGTACATGACGATGTGGGTTCGTGTTGAAAATAAGTCTCACATTGATGGGAGGAGGAACCTTGCATGGGCTTATATGAGGTTGGGCTACTCTCCATATTGCCAATTGGTTTTATGGTGGAACCCCAATTTTTTTATGGTATCAGAGCATGTTGTCCCACCTGTGAAGCCAAACAATCACATGTGCTCCACGTCACCATGTCGTGTTGTCCACGTGTTATGTTAGAAAATTCGCCACACGTGAGGGGGCGTGTTGATAATGAGTCTCACATTGATGGGAGGAGAGATTGTGCATGGGTTTATAAGAGGTTGGGATACTTCCCATATTGCTACTTGGTTTTATGATGGAACTCCAACTTTCTTTAATTTGAACTCCGTTGGTGGCTAATCTAACAAAATTTATCGTTTGACAAAAAAAAAAAAGGTTCACAACTATTTTGATGAAGTAGTTATTGTCATTTCAAATTCATTTATAAATGAAACATATTTATGATGTATGTATGAATTTGACTGTTATAAAGTTTAGATATAGTTTGAATGAATTCGAATCCTCTTTGTGAGAATTCTGGGAATCTGTGAATCATGTCCGTTCATTATACATCGTGTGGTTAGAAAACATTTTAAATATTTTTATTTAAAATTAAATACAAACAGTATTTGACAAAAGATGTATGAGCTGAACACGATTCACGAATTTCTAGAATCTTCTCCAAAAGAATCCGAAGAATCCGAAGAGGATCCTGTTGGAGTTTGAATTTGACTTTTTTTTTTTTATAAAATTTAGATATAGCTAGATCTAGGGAATTTTATAATGACACTAGTTAGCAGCCCAGCTTTACAAATGGGAGGAGGATTATCTCCCATCCTAATCTCTCTCCCATTTTCTCCCCTTCTACTTAAATGGTTACGGTAAGCCACATCAACATCTTATATTGATTTTTTTATAAAGACAATAAAATAAAAAGCAAAGTGTGAGAGGAGGGGAGAGAAAGGGATGAGAATAGGAAGGGACGTAACTTACTCCTTATAAATGAAACCCATGATGTACTTTTGATCGAATTCTGACCACATTTCTATTCTTTGCTCCTGAATGGGTGCCCACATTTATATATTTTTTATTTTGTGTAAATTGTCGATTTTTTTCTCTAAACTTTCACTCAGATTTCGACTTTTCTTTCAAACTTTTTAATTAGAAAATTAAGAACTTAAACTAATTTTTTTGGCTGATTTCCCCTCTTGCTGTTAGTTTTTCATCTATTCCTTCCAAATTTCTGTTAAATGAAAACATGTGCACATTATGTGAGGGTAATACGGTCGCTTTGTTCTTTAATCACTCAAAATCCAAAGGTCGAAGCATTTTAACTCTATTCATAGATCATCCGCTCAAGATAGAAATAAATGGGTTGCTTCACATGGAACTTCAACGATTCAAATTATGTAATTTGTAAGTCTTGATTCATAGATCTTCATTCCAACAATTCAATTTGATTTAAAACCATTTGCCTATTTAATTGTCACGATGAAATTTCAATATTTTTTACAACATAGTGTTCGCAAATTTTTTTTTTTTTTTAACTAAATTAGATGCCTCAAATATTTTTAATTTAATTAATATTTTACAAGAATGATTTGTGAGTTGTAACTTAAAAAGTAGATGATTTGAATTATTAAAATTCAATATGTGTTGGCCCCACAACTACTCCCTTTTTTTTTTTTTTAAAAGAATTTGACATTCATTCCCTTAAAAGCTGTATGTGTTTAAAATTCAATATGTGTTGGCCCCACAACTACTCCCTTTTTTTTTTTTTTAAAAGAATTTGACATTCATTCCCTTAAAAGCTGTATGTGTAGATGCATAGTCATCGCATTCCGCACTTACGCTTCTTTCCATCTCCAATATATGGTGCAGGTAAAACCCATCTCCACTGACATTTAAACTTTAAATTATTGGTGTATTTATCCGAGGTGGGACTCGCCCATCGTCAACACGTTCACATGTGAAAGTTGTGTAACAGGCATACGTCCTTGCCTAGTTCATGAGTAAAAGAAGGAGATGAAATAAAAATGGATAATGCTATTTATATATTTATTTTTATTTTTTACATATTTTTGTTAACTTTTTAGCTATTGATCTTCTTCAATTCATTTAATTTGGTAGTCAAAAATTAAGAAAAATGTGTAAGAAATAAAAACAGGGATGTGAACATCACTACCCAATAAAAAGGGGCCAAAATCCTTGGTGGTTCTTTTAGAGCAACTCCAGCCCATGCTAAATGGACTGGCACCAAGTGAAGAAAATGGACTGGCACCACATTTTTCTGCTCCAGCCCGCACATTTGACTGGCACCCAGCCCGTGCCAGTCAACAGCCCAGCCCAAAATGGACAGACCCAGAAGCCGGTCTGTTTGATGGCGCGTGCAACACACGCGGCTGCCCAGGCGAGTAGCCGACAAAAAGACCAGGCGGTGGGGCCCGCGTGCAGACCCACTTGCAGTCGTCCGGGTGAAGGAAACGTGGCCTCCTCAGAGCCGTTGGATTTCCAACGGCTAGTTTTTTAGGCCGTTGGATTTCCAACGGTAAAAAAAATTTAAATTTCAATTTTAAATTGGACCGTCCGATCACAGATCAACGGTCCACGTTTATTTCACCAAAAATTAAAAAAAAAAAAAAAAAAAGGCCCAACGGTCAGAAATTTGACCGTTGGCCCCGTGGCGTAATGAGTGCTGTTGGATTTGATTATTTTTCAAATCCAACGGTCACGATTAATTACAACATTAAAATTTATTAAAAATTAATAAAAAAATGTCAAAATTTTTTAAAAAAATACAGAAAAATTTTAAAAAATACATTTTTTTTTTCTATAAATACCTAACCCTCATCTTCCACCTTACACCACATTTCAATATTTTCTACACTTTCTACACTTTCTACATTTGAATATTTTGTACACTTTGAGAGAAAAAAATGACTTCGTGGAAGCTCAGTGAAGATGTTACGTTGTGTGAATGTTGGGTTCGCACTACTCATGACCCGATTACGGGTAATGAGATGGATAAGCGAGAAATGTGGAGTAAAATTACGAAATCGTTCAACGATGTACATGGAAAAGATGCCAGATCTAGTCAAGGTCGTTGGAAAAAACTCAACGCATCCTTTACTTGTTGGAAAAACGCCCTCTCTCATGCTTCTGGTAATTTGCGTAGTGGGACAAGTTTAGCGGATGAGGGTAACAATATTTTTATTTATTTATATGCATTCCACCCACATCAATATTTTAATTTATTTAATTTCTTATGTAATTTTTATGTAATATGCATTCCAAATACTTATGTAATTTTTATGTAATTTTTATATAATTTTTATGCATTCCACAATTCTTATTTAATTTATTATGTAATTTTTATGTAATATGCATTCCAAATACTTATGTAATTTTTATGTAATTTTTATATAATTTTTATGCATTCCACAATTCTTATGTAATTTTTATGTAATTTTTATAGACACTACAAGCACAAGCATTCTACAATGCAAAGAACCATAACAAATCATTCAACAAATGGGAATGTTGGCAAATTGTCAAAGATTGCCCTAGATACAAAATTGTGGCAACTGGTCCAGAAGTTGTCATGCACGGTATGGGTCTACACAGTTCGCCAGAAGCAGACACAGCCGAACAAGAAGCCAACACATTTGAAGACACGGAAGGGATGCCTGAACAAGTGCCAGAGACCCAACCGACTCGTCAGTCCCTCAGGCCTCAAGGTAAAAAGGCATCAAAGAAAAAAAGTAGTTCTTCCAAAAATGACTACACTAAATATATGGAGGAACTTACTCGTCAAGGTGAAATGAACATGGCATGGGAAAAGGCTAGAGATGAGGAAAAAGCTGCTGCTGTGGCAGCAATTATTGCAGCTACTGAGGCTCGTGATGCGGCGTCTGAGAGACAAAGAGAAATAGTTAATCGAGAGAACGAGATGATTAGAGAAGCACTTCATCGAGAGAATGAGATGCTTAGAGAAGAAAGGATGGCTCAAACAGATCGTGACACTATGAACAAGTCTCTAGTAGGACTGTCTCTGAATTCAAAATATTTTTGGACATCAGAAAAAAGAGATGTCGTGCGAAGGAGGCGTGCAAGAGATGCCGAAACAAGTCAAGGGGGTTCCAGCTACAGAAATCCTAGCAACCAAGATCCTAGCACCACATATCCTAACTGCACAGACTTTATTTAATTTCTTATTTATTTTTAGAACTTTATTTAATTTCTTATGTAATTTCTTATTTATTTTTATAACTTTATTTAATTTCTTATGTAACTTCTTATTTATTTTTAGAACTTTATTTAATTTCTTATGTAATTTCTTATTTATTTTTAGAACTTTATTTAATTTCTTATGTAATTTCTTATTTATTTTTAGAACTTTATTTAATTTCTTATGTAATTTCTTATTTATTTTTATAACTTTATTTAATTTCTTATGTAATTTCTTATTTATTTTTAGAACTTTATTTAATTTCTTATGTAATTTCTTATTTATTTTTAGAACTTTATTTAATTTCTTATTTACTTTTAGAACTTTATTTAATTTAAAATTAAAATTACATAACCTCACCATTTAAACTTAAAAAAAAACCATTTAAACTTAAAACACCAAATAAAATTACATAAAACACCATTTAAACTTAAAACACCATTTAAACTTAAAATTACATAACCTCACCATTTAAACTTTTAAAAAAAAAAGCAAACACACTAAATAAGATTACT